TTCGTTAACTTATAATATATGCTTTAGGAAATATGAACTGAACTGTCTCCGAAGGCTGCTACATACTGAGTGTTGAGGAAATTGATTGTTAGGTAATGGGTCGCAGCCGGAAGAAGCATTGAGATTTGGGAGTGCTTATCAAGCTTTCTTTTCTAACTTCAAGGCTTCAACTTCTGTTGGAGGGAAAGCTTCTCTTCAGCCCAAGCGAACTCCAGTTTCGAATGAGGAGATTGAGGCGATCTTGGTATGTTAAAATATTTTTTTACGTGTTGTTTACGCAATAAGCTCACCTGCATTCTCAATATGGTGATCTGATTACTAATGAAACACTGAATTATGCTACTGCTGGGTGCTAATTATTTAGCCTTGGTGGTAAATAGGTTTCTAGTTTGGTGCAAGTGCAAGAAGAGGCATTGAAATTGAAATTTGTTGTTATGCGTCAAGTAGTAAACAAATTGTCATAGATTTTGCTTCTGATATCTCGAGCATTTTGATTTTGATTTTGATTTTTTTTTTTAATCTTCTAAGCTTGGTTATGAAACCTAATATATTGAAAGGGTAACGTTAGAGTTTGTTTATATTCTGATTTCATGTTTTCTCCTTGCATTTGACGCAATAAAACAGATTGTTTTGTGGGTCTCTTCTGGGTTGTTAAACAAATGAATTGTTAGGTAATCCAACAGCTCGTAAGTCATGCATAGCATGCATTGAACAAGACACGCCCAATTCACTTCACAAGCATGATATATTTTTCTTGCTTCTCATTCTTTCAGTTGCTGGCTACTAATTTACCTCTTTATGCAATCCTTTGGCAGTTGGGTGGATGTATCTGAGCTTCTCTTGGAGCTCTGAAAAGGGAGCTGCAACATTCGTTTTTGCTCTTTTAGTTTTCAAATACAAGAGTTCATTTCAACCAATACCATTGCTTTGTATGGAGTTCATTGAAACACAATCACTAATTCAATTTTCAATGTAATTGAGGTTTTCTTGGCTCACACATGGTTTGTTGATTATTGATACTTTGACGGTGGTGAGATTTTTACAAATAATGGAGGGTTTCTTGGCTCACACATGGTTTGTTGATTATTGATACTTTGATGGTGTGATATTTTTATAAATAATTGAGGTTTTCTTGGCTCACACATGGTTTGTTTATTATTGATAGTTTGATGGTGTGAGATTTTTACAAAATGGAGTTTATTGCTGCCTGAACTGGAATTGATACATATTCAAAGGATTTGAGCAAACACTATTTGTAACAGGAAAATGTAACTAGGAAGATGATTGTGATTCAGTTTCATAGAATGCTTCGATTATTGCGGACCCGGGATTTTTTCCTGGAGGGCCCTTCTCCCTACGTTCCAGCTCTTCCAGGCGGATAGTAACTAGCTCTTCCAGGCGGAAAGTAACTAGCTTATCCCAGTTTCCTCCTTCAAAGATAACTCCAGCCTTTCCGTCAGTGATTCGCTGAACAATGCCAGTGTACATGTAAAATGGGTTATTCGGGTTCTTCACAATGGCAGTCATACCAGGCAACAGCAGTGGCAGTTCTGGTGGTTTTGGCCTGCTTGTGATTGTAAGCTTCGGAACTGATTGTTTCTTTGGAGGTGGGTTTTCCTCAATGAATCTTTTCAACCCCTTCCCTCCACCAGGAAAACCCCCTGTTAATCCCATCAGCTTTTTCAAAAGCATCATCCGGCACGCTTGATTTTTCCAAGCTACCTGAATTTTCTTCTCTACCAGCAGTTGATGATGCTTATTCTTCAATGTTTCTCTTTAGTTCTTGTTGCACACCTTTTTCTTCATTACAGAGTTCCCTGCCTCCCAGGATCTCGAAAAGGTCAAGTTTGGCACATGTTTTAAGTTTCAGCCTATGATCTTTGGGGATCAAGAGTATGGTTTATGAGGATGATTGAAGCAGTTGTTTTGACCAAGAAAGTTGGACCTAAGTAGAGTATTTTAAGAGTGATAGAAGACGCCATAGTTTGGTGTTCCATAAGCCGCCAGCCCTGCAGAAAGAAAGGAGAGAGCCTTCACTTAATGTTTGATGGATAGTCCTATCACTTAATGTTTGCCACTAATATATTTCTGTCACTATTGTGTTATCTGACTGACCCATCATGCATTGACATTATGGCCCCAATTGATAATAGATATATCAGTCATGCTCTATGGCGGGTCGAATGAGGAAAAAAAAATTAATATTTAGTCAACGTAACTGCGTTTTAAAAAAAATCAATATTTAATGACAAAATTGATGCTGAGTTAGTTCTGCCCGAGTTAATATACTGCGGTTCAAATCCCAATTGTTTAGCACAACTCGGAACATCCTGGCTGGTCCTATCAAAGTTACGATGCACCACTGTACTCAACATCATGCCACTTATAATTGGTGGGAGGAAAATAGTAATTGAGCGTTGAATTAGACAAAGCTCCATGATGTCTCTTATCACGTTTATGCTGTAATTCTTCCCTTCTTCCAGCAGATAGAATTGCTCCGGTAGCAGCGGCATTGAAGGAAGAGAAGACGGAGTATAAAAGCAACTTCTGAAAAAAGGATGTTTTAAGGCCTCCTCAGCAGAGGACCTATTGAAGGATTCCAAGAACAAAGCTTCCTGATCAGGTTGATTGCATCCCCACTAGTAGATGGTATAAACGCAGAAAGCTGGACACCATCAAACTTTGGAAATTGGTAGCTATTAGTCCTTGCAAAATGAATTCCTTCAGCCCAGGAACCCGTTGTCGGACTGCCTAGTACACTACATATTTTGTACACCTGGTTTGCTTCAGTAGTACCAGGAAAAAGCGGACGGAGAGTAAATCACTCGACCATGATAGCACCCATAGCCCACATCAACCTTAGAACTATAAAAATCTGATTGTAGCATCACTTCAGGCACCCGATACCAGCGTGTGGAGACATATTGTGTATATAGTGGCAACGAATTGATTTCTCTTGCAAGACCGAAATCAGCAATCTTACGATGTCATTAGTAATTAACAAATTCTCTGGCTTCATGTCGCGATGAAAATATACTTTTTGATGCAAGACCCTGAAACACCTGACAGCTCAAGTTCCTAACTTCAGCTTCTGAGAACATGTTTTTCCTGTGTCCAGGGACTTGATAAAGGTTCTGTTCCATGTACTCGAAAACGAAATACAAAATGCTGTTTTCGCGAATAAGTTCTGTAAGCATCACGATGTTTGAATGATTTAACTTCTTCTGTAAGGATTTCACTTCTCTTAAATCCAGGCATTCCTCCCGGAGTCATACTTTTTCTTCGTCTGCTTTGGCAACAGCTTCACCAGACTATTAATTCCCTGTTTAACACTGCCAAAGTCCTCCTCCCAGGTTCTTTAATCAACTTACACCTCTCCATAAAATCAAAAGACCTAAAAGAACTCCAAAAAAAAAAATCCTAGTTGGATACTTCTTGAATTGAGTAACAACATTGATAACAATATTTTAGGTTTTAGATCTAAGCTAGTGCACAAGACTCTGAAAGCAAACTGCACAGTTTCTAATCAATTAGTACCTGTTCGTTCTCTCGATCACTTCCTCTGCTGTAAAAAAAAAAGAATATTAAACTAAATAGGAAACAATTATATTTATATTATTGTAGCTGTTTGAATCATGTATTATCCATGGGGCTATCTGATTTGAAATTCTTGGATAACAAGGACAGAAAATAGGAGGGCGTTTTCTTTTTAAAAAAGGGAGGACACAGGAACCTGCCAAATTCATATGCCATAGGAACCATGGCCAATAATGCCAGTGGCCATAGCAAGAAGAGCCAACGAAGCGAAAGGCCCAAAAGGATAATTATGAAATTTTACCCTTCACTACTAAATAACCAATAAAAAGTCCACTTTTGTTCATATTCTTATTTTATTTTTCTATCATTTTTTCTCTCTCGCATGCTATAATATCTCATAATTTAAAAAAAAAAAAAAAGTAATTGAAAGGGGCTATTTAATGATTTTTGCCTAACATTATACATTTTTGAAAAGTAGAAAGATAATATTGATGAGTTTTGAAATATATGGACAGAAGTAGAGGATTGATGAATATATAAGAGCAAAAATGAAGTTCAAACAACCAAAAAAACTACTATACCTAACAGTCACGATGTTGTATATATATTTCGATGGTGGGTCAAACCACTTTCCGTGTGCTCAACAAGAAGAAGCAAAACACAACATAACGATATCCATTAATCTTTCTTTCTCTGTAATAAAGAAAACCAAAAAAAGTCTCTTTCTACGACAGACAAAAGGCATACATACGGTAAGCAAAGCAGTCCACTTTGTCTTTAATCATCTATTCTTAAATTATTATCTTATCTGTTTGATGATCAAGGAATTTTTTTTTTCTTTTTATGTGAGCGGCAGCAAGGCTATGTAATTAAGTTCGTTTTCTGTTTCAAAAGAATTTTGTTGTTATGAGATTTGATTAGATTCTTTGAGTATGACTTGACGGGCTGGTTGCCTTTTCTTTTTGATCCTCTGGTGTCTTGTAGTTGTTGATTTTAGTGTACAAATTGGTGGAGCTTTGTGCTATCTGGGAAATCTCAAGCACTTCTTTTATCGGTGATTTGAGGTTGATGAGGCTTCTTTCTAAGGGCTTAATGGAGAAGAACTTATGGGGTTGGCGATTTATGTGTTTGTTTGTTTTGGCAGCTTTTATTTTAGATTTCCATCGCAATGCATCCATTGCAAGAATTCTCCGATTAATTTTTATGATTTGCTGAAAATTTAGTTTGATCGTGTCCTCTGAGTTTTTTGTTTCCCGTGTGATTATATATATGTACTGCCCCTAGGCAATATATTCCAAGCTTTTAAAGCATATTCAAATATCCATTGATTGGAGGGATTGATTTTTACGTGCTGAGCTTTATAAAGTTAATCGTTTGTTCAAGTTGAATTATCTAGTGCATATCTCTCATTCTGATCTGTTTTCTTTTCTTGCCATAGGTTTTGTATCATCTTCTTCAAATAAACACGTAGCTTCATTGATGATAGTCCTGGGAGGTTAAATATTATCCCCGATCACTTTCAAGTCTCAACCTCTGGTGAGGACACTCCTCAAACCATAACTTCATCTACTGAACAGCCAAAAATTGATAATTCATCCAGGTACTTGTTTTTTCCTTGAAGAAAAGGAAACGAAGGAGAGAGTGATCCACGAGCTTTGTATCGATTTTGTTTCTTCCTCTGATTTAGAATAGGTCAAGTAGCCATTTCTGGTCTGGGAGAAAACTACAAAGTGCTGCATTCATGCTGAATTTGTTTAGCCTGCGAAGGCTGTCATGGGGTTCTAGCACCAATGGTCAGGAAAAGGTTTATCAAACGACCCTTTAAGACATGCTTATAAATTATTTTAAAGTTATGGTGTCTAATCAGGAAATTGTATTTTGATTTGCAGGTTGAGTTAAGTGTGGTAGAGTTAGAATCGCTTCGATCAGAACTTGCTTGCTTAGAAGAGAGGGAAGCTCATTTGAAAGCTCAGTAAGGACTACTTTATCATAGGCTGGAAAACTGTAGTGTTCAATTTAGCACAGCAGATAATAAATCTATTGATTAGATCATTGGCAATGATCAGCAGAAGTGAACACAAACAAATGATGCAGTTAGGGAAAACCATGACTAAATTTAATTTTGGACCTAAACATTGTCAAGAGATTGTTCTCAATCTTCTATTTTGTATGAAAGTTTCAGTTTCAAGAATTAGTAATAAAATGAACTTAGACCTTCCTTTCAAAATTCGTTGCGTATTTATAAGGTTTATTTACAATAATTCATATTCAACTCTTGAATATCTCAACGTGACAAAACATGAAATTCAGCATACTCGGTTTCTGATAAGTTGGAATAATGCTCTTGGTTAATGCAAATCAACAGCAAAATCTTTTCTGTACAGGTTGCAACATGTTGATGAAATTCTGCGCTCTGCTCGGTTCTCTGGTTATTTGTACATCCGAACTGTAATTAATTTCTCCTACTTGCTTACGCCACTCTCTTTTCGGATTTTAATGCAATTTTTTATGGACCTAGCAGTTAACGGTTCTTTTTTCCACCTCTTTTCTCCCTCCTTTACAGAGATGGACAGCTCTACCTGGGGAGCCTCCACCACTTGATGATGCCGATGTAGATGATTGGCTTCCTCGCTTTGTTGTCCTTAATGGACCGTGCATCTTTTTCTATTTGTTGTCCACAGGTAACTGGTTTCGTTTTTCCCTCCCTAATGTCACCCATGCTTTTAGCCATGTGTGGGTTTTTAGAGCACCTGTGATGATTTATGTCTCAAAATCAGCGAGTATGATCAGGAAGGACAACCATCACAATAGTACTCATCCTCCATATCCACCTTTCTCCACCCTTCCGTATAGCTTATAGCATGTTGTAATTTTCTATGATGTTGTGTTTTCTTTTTCTGCCAATAAATGGTGATGCATTAGAATGGGAGACCCTCCTATATCCAGGGAAAACATGTTCAACAGAAAATTTGAAGTTCTCGGCTTTTACCTGCTCCACTTGTGTTGATGATGCTGCTACTACATTTTTTTTCTTTGGGTTTCAAATATTACTTAAGTTGCAATCTGATTTTGTTATTTGAATCTGCATTCAAATTTCTTGTTGATTGAAAAGAAATTTATGCAGATTTGAGTCCTCAAGATTCCACTCTATTATCAGATATTGTTGAAGTAGGTTCTCTCCCAAGCCTTACGCGAGAATCTGATCAGACATGGCATTCCTTTTATATCTTAACTCGTCAAGGGCTGCGATATGAATGCTCAAGCATTTCTGAAGTACAGGTAATTCCATTATTGTTCGTACGCTTCACAGTATTCAATGCAGTTGATAGGTGCCAATGTATTCGATTTTCTAATCAAATTAAACGAATACTTCTGTAAACATATGCAAATGGGGGCATACATATGCACACACATCCACACCCACATAAATATGTTATCGTTGCTTGATCTACTGCATCCTTTCCAAGGATACGTTGACTTTCCTTTTGTACAATTTTTTGGTATGGCCCTATGTTTTTTCCCTTGATTGATAGGGGGTGATTAAGGTGAAATTAAATCTTTGTCTGCATAAGAACCTTCTATCAATACAAGCTCGTTAGTGTTTCATTTGATGCCTTGTAATTTCTAATTTGTTTGATAATTGAGTGATAAACAATTTTAGGGAGGCATGATAAAATAAGAATGGCCTACAACTGAGCTTCCTGCTTACGTTTGTTGCATCCTGTTGTGTGCCTTCATGTGCTCATGGTTATCATTGAAAATATTGCTCACTTGAAAGTGCTTTGAAATTTCCCTTGCATAACAATTTATTCAGAGATGACACCAAATAGATTCAGATGATAAACACAGCACCGGTTAATGTTTTTGAAAACCATCTATTAGAAAACCATTCTTTTCCATTTTAACGCCAGAGTTTTACATATTAAGAGAGCTCTCTTGTTATTTCCACAAGTATCAATATATTTTAAGTTGATGTTTCATGTCCTCCCCTCCTTCCTCAGGTGGATTCATGGCTGAAGGTGTTGCAGACTGACATCAAGTCGGGTTCTGAGACAAAAGTTCCGAATGGCTCCAGGGATGTGTAAAATATGCTTGTTTTTAACAGTAAGCTCTGTGCATTGCAAAAATATGCTGTTACGCTTTAGATTCATGAACTTTAGACTGGATTATGATATCACTAACTCATTCGTTGTAAAAATATTCTGTTACGCTTTAGATTCATGAACTTTAGACTGGATTATGATATCACTAACTCATTCGTTGTAAAAATATGCTGTTACGCTTTAGATTCATGAACTTTAGACTGGATTATGATATCACTGGTCATTGTAATTGCAATTTGCTGCAGGAGGGAGAGATAAAAGCGGTTCGTGTACAGAAAAATTGACAATTTAATCGAATACTAGTTAATGTCAGTACCAACTGTTCCTGTCAGAGTTATATTTAACTTCTACTAACATGAAGTTGCTATTCCTGCATTTTGAGAATGGTAAATGGTCCTTGTTTCATAAATGTCAACATTTTGAAGCTCGAAGATTCCAAGCTTGGAAAAATCTCGAATTCTCTGGCACCGACCAAACACGAATATCCAGCAGCTACAGACATCATGTAAAGCTTGTCTGAGAGAACATTGAATTTTGTTTTTTAAAGTTTTTTTTAAAAAAATATTAAAATTATTAAAAAATATTAATTTAAAGTTTAAAAAAAAATTGAAAAGTATAATTGAACTGCAGTAATATGCCAACCGACCACATGTTCTCTGAGGATTTTTTTTTTTTTTTAATTTGAAACAATTTGGGGTTTCAACCTTGAGCTAAACACTAGTAGTGAATGCCTGCTGGTCACTTGCGCTGTGTCTTTCAGAGGTACTGTGCTCCTTGTTTAAGGAATCAATCTGTCATTAAGATGAAATTTGAAAGAGATCTTCACTCTTTGATGAGGGAAAAAAGGTTTTCTAGTGAATTAGTAGAATGAAGCTTTTCTTTCTTTTCCAAAGTATCATAAATGAAAACTTTGAACTCAGTTCTTTTAGGCATTGGAGCACCAGCCAGGACCACGAGGCAAAACTACTTGAACTTACAAGCGAATCACAAAAAAAAAAAAAATCATCAGTAAAAGGAAAACATAATTTGTGAAACCCGTAAGAACATTTTGAATTGAATTCAAAACTTGGTTAGTATAGTGTTTCTTTACTCTTTTCTTTGTTTTGAAAGTTTATTATGAACAATTACAAAGAACCCCACATTTCTTATTCTAGGGTTCACACTCAAATTGAGGAAAATGGATGCATTGTAAGGATTTGTGTAGGAGATATGGTCTAAGTGATGACTAGTTTTAAAAACATGACAAAAAAATTAAAACAAACCAGGGAGAAAACTAGTCTCCTTGGTTTCGGCCAATAACGAGCAAAAAGGAGGGGGTGATAATTTTAGGCTAAATTTTTTGAAATGTGTGTTTACCTACTAAATAAATGTAAATAATGTGCTTAAAAAAGATTCTAGGATTTATTTACGTGAATTATTTGCCTTGTGGGCTTCGAGGAAAGACAATTAAAATGAAATTGTATAGTTGGGTTGAGATGTTGAAACTTGAAAGTGTGGGCGCTAAAGTGGGAACTTGTACTTGGAAAACTTTAGATGGAATTTGGAAATAAATTGGATGTGGTGTAGGGTGTCATGTATTCATGGGGAGGAATCTGGGGTTGGCAGTGGTAATTGGGAATTTTGAAATAAATTTGCTTGGTTAGGGAATTTTGAAAATATATATTAGAGGTAAAAAATGTCAATTCTAAATTTGACGATGGCTAGTTCTCAGGGGATTTTTTAGGTTTTAAAATAATATTTTTTATGTTTTTTTAAAAAATATTATCTTAACTTCATTATTTGAATTAATTTTAATTTAATTCTTTATATATAATCTTTCATGTGACTTTCATTAATCTAGGGTTTATTTGTATCAATAACTTATTTTTAGTAGATTTTGATTTTAGGATTTTAGTTTTAAATTGAAATATGTTATGATAAAATCATGGCCTATGAGTGATAATCAAAATGCATGAATGCTAAATTATTGATCATTGTATGATTTCTTTCATGTTTGTGTTCTTGATTTATACATATCTGATTTGATTTTAAATCTATGTTATTGAGTTCATGTTGAATGTTCTTGAGTGTTTTTCATGTTTTTTATTTTTCTAGATTTTGATCCGTTTTGATAAAAAGTTTGAGTTTATGTGTTTTTTTAAGTTTTTGGATTATAGTTTTGGTTTTGGTTTGTTTTTAGATCAAACCAATGAATTTTGATACGATTTATGGTTAAATCAAAAGTTTTGGATCATTATGGTCAGATTAAAATCAGGTTAAAAGTTAAGATTCTATTTGTTGGCAATGTTTTTATTAAAAGTTTTCTTTGGCTTAAAGATATGTTTGATAAACATTCCCTAAACCTATTTTAATAATTTTAGTTTTTTAAAAAAATAGATTTTTGCTAAACATGGTCTTAAAAAAAAATTATACTTGTTGCATATGGTATAATCCTTACAAAAAAAAATTGCATTTTATTCATAAAATAAAAATGAATAAAGTAGCGTTGGTGTAGATTTTTTTTGTTGCATTTTTTTTTTAATTTACAATAAGTTTGAAAACTTTCTTAAAGATTTGAGTAATATTTCAACAATTCTAATTTTTTTTTAAAAAAAATTAATAATCAATATTCTGGTATAATTACTAAACTTATAACTAGATTGATATTTAAATATCAGAAGTTGACCAGAAAATTCTCAATTTATTTAAAATATTTATCAATTTTAATTGAAAGTACTTTTCACTTATAATATACAAGTTGTAAAAAATGATTTTATCTTTTAAAATAAGTAAACTCTCCTAGATAATCTACATAAATTCTTTTTATAAGATTTTATTTTGATATGTGAGCCTATAATAAATTTGAGATATCAAATTTATTTATAATCATAAATTTTTATTTTAAATTATAGATAAATTATTAGTTAGGAATCCATTAATATTTTTAAAACATATCCAAACCATGCAAAAGAATGCTACTAGTTTCTTATTCTAAAATTTAAAATAATATAATTCTATCCAAATCTTCTAATGATTCTACATCAAATAGCTAAGTATTAATTTTTCAACCTCGATATCCAGCCACGCTAGGCGGGCACTTGCAACAATTCTAATAATGTTATGAAAGCACCACTGGCATCACCAGCGTGCTTACAGGTTGGCCCTCTATACAGGAACACTGGAGTCGTCATTGTTTAACCAGAAAGTTGGAAAATTGAAATTGAAATTGAAATGTAGAGCATATACAAAATCCTCAATGCTCGTAGAACTTGTCAAAACTTAAACGAGTTAAATCAAAATGAAAATGTTATTTTCTATATGTAGTGCCGGGAATTTCCAAATTCTCCTGCCGGTAGCCAGACATCTCTAACAAGCTGGCGAAGAGGATCAATTATATCATGTGCAGGAGATTATAAAAAGAAAAAGAAATAAAGTTTTGGCGTTCTAAGCTAGAAAAACATTAAAAGATGAGGACAATATAATGGGACTAGAGTTTCATATAGCCATTACGTTTTGTGCGGTTTGTTTAAAAGCATCAAACTACTTTTTAGGGCACAAACTTAATGGCTAAAATCATAAAGCAAAATATTGTTCTCTCTTTTTTCTTTCTTTTTACAAAAAGGTTTCTAGTTAAAGGGAGGGAATAGGTACCATTTGTCTCCATCGACAAGCTTGCATGCCGAGCATTGGCCCAAAAGAAGCTCATTTCTTGTTACCTAAAGCATAGAGGTCAAAAAAGAAAAGCAAAAAAGAGCTTCCTCTCTTTTTCGCACATATGTAAAAAACTAAACTTGCTTAGTACATCATTGTGGTGTTGTTGTTCGGTTATTTGTTAAAGGAAATATATCCACAGACATTGTTTTCTCTTTCGAGTCTTTTTTTTCTTTCTGTTATTTAATCATTATTATTTTTTATTTAATCCTTTTTTATTAGATTAGTTTAGGATTAAACTTGATTATTTGTTTCATTTAGCTTTGTACTGGCTACTCGCTGTGTCAAGAAAGAAAATCAACTCTCGATTGATGCCCCATTTAAAAATAAAATTGAATTGAATTGAATTAAAATAAAGCAATGAGGATTGAATTTGAACATTAGACAAGTATTAAGCTCCTTTTCCTTGCAAACATCAAGGGCTAAATTGCATGGGTAAAGAGGGATTCAACCTTTTTTTTTAATCTCTCTCTTTTTTTTTAATTTGGTTATTTTACATTGATTTTTTTTCTCTTTTACTATTATACTAGATAGTTTTCTTTGTTGGCTATGTATGGGGAACCAATGATGTGATGGGAATTTTTTGCATGTGTTTGATAATGATTTTGTAAAATAAAATTAATATTATTAATATAAAAAATTAAGCCTTGAAGGACATAATTTGACACCAAAACAATTCCACGTACTGGAAAGGATGGGCAAAACAACTGTACTGGTGCATATATTGAAGTCATCACATTTTAGTGGCTCATTTGGCTCTATCTATAATATAACAACTCATAATTGAGTTTATAGTCGTCTACAGTGAAACACTAAATATTTTTAGTATATTTTTTACATTACTTGTATGATGCTATGAGTTAATTTTTTTATAAAATTATATTTAAGAATTTTAAGTTTGAATGCAACACCTAATCTAAAAATAATATTTATAATAATATTAAACTTACATAACTTAAGTTTAAATAAATTTGACTGCAACACTAGATCCTTAGATGTGGGTCTAACTACAAGGTTATATCATAAAAATATAATAAATTAATAAAAAAACTAACAAAAAGATAAAACACTAATAAAAAAATATAAATTAATTGGGTTAACCCGTCAAACCTGGAATTCGAGTTATGAAAGTTTAATAACTAAATAGAAAAAATAAAATTGACGGGTTAACTGTGTTAAACCGTCAAACCAGGTTAATCTATTAAGCTCGGGATACATGTCATGAAAATCTGATAATTAAATAGAAAAAAATTTAATATTAACAAACTAAACTAAATAAAAAAATTAATTAAAGAGAAAAAAAGTTTAAAAAATAATTTGTATAATGAAAATCTGATAATCATATAAAAAATTTAACATTAAAAAATTAAATTAAAAAAATTATTAAAAGAGAAAAACACAAAGAAAAAAACAAAAAACAAAAACAGTAAAAAAACAAAAAAAAATAAAGAAAAAATAAGATAGCTCAGAGTATTTTAGTATATATTATTATAAATATAATATATAAGTATAGCCGAGGATAAAGTTCAGTACTTTTTCACGCCTTGATTGTAATATAACTATGCATTGCACATCATTTGGAAAAAAGTAAAGAAGAACATTGCAAACATTTTAAAAGTTGTAATTATCACTTAACACCAATCTTTTTAGGAACGTACCAATAAAATAAAGTATTTTATCATTATATAATTATAGCAAAACTGTAATCATGACTCACTTTTTAGAAATCTTTTTCACATCAATTCTCTCCTCGTTTTTTCCAATTGGGACAGCACAACGCAGCATACTCGTGGATCACATTGCGACACCTGCTAAGGTTTGAAGATCAAAAAGCAAAAAGTTTGAACTGGCACCCACGTTGTGGCCTGGCAGTTCCAGGTTTAAAGTTTTATACGTATAAAAAAAAAATCACCTTGGAAAAAAAAAAATCTAAATATCCTAACCGTTAGTTAGTTACTGCATATGATGGATCCTCTCTTCCCAGCTGTCTTCTATAACACCACAGCTCTTTCACTCCCTCTCTTCGCACTTTCATATCATCTCTCTCTCTCTGCATCTCCATTTTGCTAAGCTCACGAAAAGGATATGAATAAAAATGAGCCCTAAGATATGGAGATCTGCTTCTAGAGCTGCACAGTCTCTCCTCTCTTCAGCCTCTAAAAGCTCTCGCTTTTACTCTGGTAATATAATCCATTATCTTTTAGTTCTTTTAAAATTCTATTACTCTGCTTCTGTTTTTATTTACCTGTTGTTTACATTTTGTTATTATTGCTGTTGTTCTTAAATATACTTGATTAGTTTTTTGAATTACTGAAATGTTTAAATCCGAATGTTACGATTTTTTATTTACTGAAATGCTTCTGTTTATGTGATTGTCTATCTTTTTTGAGTTGTTAATTAACATGTGTACGCAAGCGTATTAGAGATGGTGTAATTCTTTTGATTGAGGTTAATTTTTCTTTTTCTTTTTTTCGTATTTAGGCTTATGAAGCAGGGTTTAATGTATTAATACTGTGATTGGAATTATGATTTTGGTGAGCATAAGGAAAAGAAAAAAACAGAAATATCTTGATATTATATAGTCACTTTGGCTCTAATTTAATTTCGTGGTGGAAATCTTTTAATCTCTAATCTGCTTCTGCTTAGTCACTGTAAACATCAGCAACAAGATTTTCTATTTTGCTCCTCGCTGACTTGTCAAATAGGACATTAAGCATGTGTTAATGGCGTTAAAGGCGATTCTTTTCTTGCGTTTTTGCTGAACTTTTCTCATCCCACAAACACGAATGTATGCTACATGTGCAGTAGAAAAATTTAATGTGAGCAGGATTGGAAAAGTTTTTTTTCTGACCCCTTATGAGTTGTCTTATTTGTAGAAGGGAGAGCTGTCACAGCAGCAGTTTCATTCAGTGGGAAGTTGCCTTTCATAGCTTCGGCTCATGGAAGGACTGGTTCTTCAAATTCGGCTAGGCAATGGATTTCAGGGGCTCTTGCATTTCCTGCCGCAGGTTTGGACCAAAAATACTGTGCTTTTGGCCTCTTTATTTTGTGGTTTAATATGGATTTTGCATGTCTTTTCGATCCAATTGGAATTTTGGCATGTATTTTGGCACATCATCATAAACATTTTCTCCTGGATTTACTCATACAAAAAGAAAAGAAAAGAAAAAATGTTTTTTTTTTTTATTTGAAATTTTACTTATTTTCTTCCTACAAAAGCATTGTGTTAGCTCTTCCATATTTCACGTGAAAAAAGGAAAAGAGTCTTCAGCATAGAAATGCATAAAGGAAGAGAAGCCTTGTTCCTTGCTCAAGGTTTTTTAGCACAGTGACTTTCAGGACCTCTTCTAGAGTAATCACTCTGTGCTTAGGCTTAAGCATGGTAACAGTTGAAATGTTAGGCATGGGAATTGATTGCTTCCCTAAATTTCCCCTGACATTCCAGCTGACTTCCAAAATGCATGAATATGTTGGTGCTATCATACATTCTCTGCTTGTCCTTTCACCAGTTTGAGCTTGTGGTCTTACGACCACCCAGCCATCCACCCTTCTTTATGACATCCATTAAATCTTCATTTTCATTTGGGAAGTTGTCTCTTGTGAAAATTGCTTGTCAAGCAATATGGAAATGTGGAAGAAGTAACTTAGAGTTGTAGACACCTTACATTTTCATATCCTTGCCTATCTCACAACTAAAATTCACCTAAACAATGTAAAAAATTTCTTTCTTAGTGTGTGTTTAAGGCTGATCATGTCTATATCTCTTGAAGATATTGATAATTGAGGACGAAAGTCACCAAATAATAGTATGCTTTATGAAATATTTCTTGCTTGCATGATATTATTGATTAGTTTTCCCCCTCTTTAAATATTTGATTTTGACTTTCCTTTCTTCATATTTTTGCAGTATATATGCTCCAAGAACAGGAGGCACATGCTGCTCAGGTAATCTAATGAGGATTTGATCTGTGTCGTTAACTGTCACCTACTCACTGTGCGTCTTTTCTTCCTTCCTTGTCATTCTGTTAATGTTCAATCTTCATTCTCTATTCAGATGGAGCAAACTTTCATTGCCATCAAGCCTGATGGAGTGCAGAGAGGGCTGGTAAGATAAGCATCTGAATTTTGGCATCTTAAAACCCTATTCCTTGGCAACCTTCTTTAGAGTGCACTGATGCAGTCAACTTGAACAAAATTTTGTTGTCTTACCTGTCTAGGTGGTAGCATTTGCTTCTCCCTGTGTTCTGATTGGGCAGGAACTACTTTCTGATGTATAGCTTTTCTGACATGAATTTTTCTTCCAGATTTCTGAAATCATTTCTCGTTTTGAGCGAAAAGGTTTTAAACTCGTAGCAATTAAAGTGGTGGTTCCTTCTAAGGAACATGCTCAGAAACATTATCATGATCTGAAGGAAAGACCGTTCTTTAATGGTCTTTGTGACTTCCTTAGCTCTGGACCTGTTGTTGCCATGGTATGAAAATAGAAAAGCAGGATTTTTACCTCAATGTTTGATGCCTACTCTTTGACATAATTGAACTCATCCAACTCATGCAGGTATGGGAAGGAGAAGGGGTGATCAAATATGGTAGGAAACTTATTGGAGCAACGGATCCTCAGAAATCAGAACCAGGGACTATCAGGGGTGATCTAGCCGTTGCTATTGGAGGGTAACTGAATTTAGTTCAAACATCTAGTTTTCTGGATCTTATGATATTTTACATGGAGCTCGTGATTGTACAGTATTACCTTGCAACTCGATTGACCTTGTGTAATATTAGTGCTGTTGTGTCTTTATTTATCGGGTAACTGACTGTGAAGTATTATGGGACCTGGAAGCCTGCATGATAGTTTGTGTTTCATGTTTTTTAGCCTGTAATTGATTTGCATAGGCTAATCTTCCCCTGGTTTGTTTCATGTAGAAATGTCATTCACGGAAGTGATGGACCCGAGACCGCCAAGGATGAGATTAACTTATGGTTCAAACCAGAGGAAGTGGTTAGCTACACTAGCAATGCTGAGAAGTGGATCTATGGAGTGAACTGATGAATGTTTTTTGTTTTAGCATCTCTCTTCTGGGATCTAGGTCCCTAATAAAGAGTGGGATGGACATAATTGTTAGAATAAATCATTTCGTGTTGAGAGGCGAGTGACAAGATTCCTTAGCTACGAATTACTGGCAATGTGAAATTTGATCATTAATGCATTCCACCTCATTGCTAATCATGGAACTTCTATTTGCCTCCATGTTGCTTATTTACCTCTAGTTAATTTATCATGGCACACCCTGTCATAATACTTGGGGTTGCCAAGATGATCCTCCGGATGGTTTGTTTCCACTTGATATCGTGGTTGCGGACTGTGCTTCTAAAAGAATTAATTGTTTTATGTTTTTAAATTTTCTTAATGTGTTTGATTTAAAAAAATATTATTCTAATATATTTTAAATAAAAATAATTTATTATATTCTTAAATATTATTGGTAACAATTAAGTTTTGTGGTTGAGTGTGCAACAATTACATTTCGGCGTGTACATGGTATGGGTTGGCTGATAAATGTCAATAATACTTCAAAAAAAAAAAAAAAGGATCCGTCTGCCTGAGTTGCATTTCCGTTCTCCTTTTGAGGTTCATGCAAAGCAAGGATCCCCATAAATAAAATATAATACCAACATCATTCTCGAGGAAAATTCATCAACCCAGCCACCAAATCTCCTTGCATCTGCAATTTTATAAGCATTCAGTTCCTTCGTTTTTATTTTATCTCAATTGGCCTCTGTTGTCCTTGATGATAACCAACCAAATACAGCCACATAAAGCCCCTAGCTGCTTTCCGTCCCTACGGCGCCGCACCGGATGGTTAACCCACGGAACCCCCTGAGGTGACGTAATAATTGCTTTAATCTCCACGCGGACTTGAAACATAAATTATTTCATTACCTGTTTTTAATCATTGCTTTAATTTGCCAATTAAAATCCGCTCTCTGTATATAAATATCCCACGCGTCGATGTCTTCTGCTTTCTTTCCCCTCCTCTCGCAAGAATCCCCGATTTGTTTCCTCTTCTTCTAGAAACCCTAACCCGAGTTTCTCTTTCGGTTTTCGCTTCTCCGTCGACGATCTCTTTTAATTTCTTGCTGCAAATCGGTAACAACAGCAACCTTTACGCCTTGATTTTATACAGCATTGATCCTTTGACCTTTCTGTATACGTTAGCTATGCCATGTTCTCTTGTTTGGTCGATTTGTTATGCCTGGCTGTGTTTTGGCCAACGAATGTTGAAAAGCTACGTGGTTGTTGATTTTGTGGTGATTATGTGTGAAGAGCTCTCGGTTTCCTTCATTTAGGGTTTTAGAATAACTAGAAACAGAGCCCTTTTTAAGCTTAAAAGATTGAGTTTGCTGCCTGGTTCTTTCCCTTGTTGGGGACATAGGGGCTCTTTTTTCTACGTTTTCTATCTTATGTTTTTGAATTTACAGACTTGTCCATGCTTTGTGGTGTTATACATTTATTGGTTAGCCTTTCAAAATCTCTAAGTAGTTGTATTCTATAAATGGCTTTTTTTGTATCCCTGTTGCAGATGGCCATTAAACCACTTACTCATGACGAAATTGCAAATACAGAAAAGAAATTGGACATGCCATTAGGTATGCCAATCTGCCGTTTAATGATTTAACTTGATTGTGTTTTCTCTCTCCTTGTGAATGGACTTCTCATGGATATAGTTCTGCTTTGTTTTATTTTTTAGATGACATCGTCAAAATGTCTAAAAATACAGCTAAACCCAAGGAGCAGCAAAGGGCTCCGGTAGGCAACTTTTCTTTTCTTGGAACATCTTTTGTTTCCTTTCTTAGATTTTCTAGATGTGATTGATGACATGTCTTTTAAATTCGGACAGATTAAAAATCATAAAATGTTCAACAACCCTGCCCATGAAAAAGCTTTAAAGATGCGGCGTTATATGGACTCAAGGCCTTTGGCTCAGCAGGTCTTAAATAGCTGCTTCTAGCACTTGTTAGCTTTTCATATATCTGACCTATTTTTACTGACCCAGTTATTGTTAGTCTCAATTTGCTTTTAATTTGGTAATCAGGCTGCCTTGGCTCAAAGAAGGTCAAATTTCCAGAGGAATCAATTTCCTCTAACATCTGAGGCTGCAAGGAAGGCCACAGTTGCTCCCTTTCGCAATAGAAGTTTTGGTCATAATTTCATGGCTAATACAAACAATGCAAGGTATATTGCGATGCAATTTCACACTGCTCCATTATATAAGAACACTGGTTCTGACTAGTTGGAATGATGCTGACAGTAACAGGAAATCATCTTATCTTTTTGTATTGAATTGTGGACTTGTTGCAGGTAAATCTGATGAACTCTGTCTGCCATGTGGTCTTCTGCTTAATAGTTTCCTCACATAGTGTTGTGGATTTCTTGTATGTGACTGGTTGTGTTACAAGTGGCCCGTTTGGAGTTATACTAATTATCGATGGCTTCCATTCACATCACCCAAATAGAATCGCCACATTTTGGATATCGTTTGCCTGTTTCGATACGGATATGTCATTTGGGTTGGCTGTAAAAGGTGGTTTGCATGTGATCATAGAGATTTTATTTGGAGACGGGCTATGAAACACACTAAAAAAATGGATGTATTTTAAAACAGTAGACAGGCTTAACGGTTATGAAAAGAGAAAAGATGTCCAATCAGTTGAGGTGATTCTTGACCAGCAATTTTGCAAAGAAATTCATCCTTTGCATATGACCACTAGTGTTCTGTGAATTATTTCTTTACTGAACAGTTCTCTTCCTGTCTGGCAGCAGTGTTAAGTGGATAGTTATTACCTTGTGGGTGTATTTCCATCATTTGGAGGGTTTGAATCATGTTATCATATGTGGTCATCAGCTTCTTCTTACCACTGGTCTCTGCCCCTTTCCTTATGCATTTAGGTTGAATTTCAACTGATGTGATTAGCGGTAGCTTATCTCATGTTCTCAGTCTTCATTCTCATTAATTTTTTACTCTTTCCTGGGAATGGGTGGATAACCAATGAAGGTGCTTATCCTTTGCTGTTAGAAGGTAGTGTCAAGGAGATTTGAAGTCTGGAATTTTCTTTCATTTTAGTCAATTTGATTGATTCTTCCACGTTCTTGTCTCTTTGATATCTCTCATCTGCCAGATGCATGACTGGGTTTTGATCCAATTTTTGGTTGCTGAGATGGAGTTAACGGGATTCTTGGTTTCAAAACATGGGACAAGTTATTGCTTGGAAGAATAAAAGTTGTGTTTTGGAATTTCTATGCTCTGAGTGATAAAGAGGGATGCAATGGACTGGATTTCTAGAATATGCCTTCTTTGAAGTTTATGTACTCTTTAAGATTTGGCTGGAGAATCATTTCTTTACCAGCACAAGTTTTTCTGTGGCTTTTGTGGGTGATGGATAGTATTCTTGACCTGGGCCTGGAGTTATTTTTTTTCATGGACAGCAAGAGAATTGGTCCTCATAGTTCTTCAGATCTGCTGCCTACGTTGAGGTCCTACCCTCAGCCTTTGCAAATAGCACAGACTTAAAAGAGTCCCAACAAAAGCTTCCATTCCTTTGAAGTTTTCTTGAGTATAAAAGGAAAAACTGCTGTGAAGAATGTTCACTTTTTTTATTCATGTGGCTGTTGTCTGCAAAAATGGCTCGTCTTAATTCTTAATTCAATGTAATTTGAACATTTATGTCAAGAATATCAGGTCTCAACGAATTGGAATTTATCTCATGTGGTTTTCATAAGATCTGGTTGATGGTGGTGCTAGCAGTTCAGTGTGGAGAGCATTATGTTGGATTCAGGTGCTTGGTACTCATCCTAGTTGCAGAGTCATTTTTTATTGTTTCTGGATGCAGGGCTGGAGGTTTTACAGTCCAGAGGAGAGCTGCAAATGTAGGCTTTGCTATGAAGGTACTTTCTTTTCATCTCTAGGCTTCATTGGCTTTCTTTCAGGGTTTTCTTCTGTTAAAGATTCTATCTTCACTACCACCACCACTACTAGCACCATCACCTTCACCACTATCACTATTATTTTTGAAGTTCTTGCATCCCAAGTTTTGATTTTGTTAGATACATCTGCAGCCTATTTGGGCGCGACAAGTTTTTGGGCAAGACATGATTAAACAACGCACCAGACCTTTTTAGGGTTGCTGTCCACCATTGGTGATTTGCTAGGGTGTGCAGCAGCGACAATAACACTGATACTTGTTGTTAATGCATTGATATGATGCTGATGCTGATACTTGTTGTTAATGCATTGATATGATGCTGATGTTTGCCATCACTGTGCAGTCACCACCACGCCCAAATCAACAACAGCAGCAGCAAGGGGATGGAAGTGCTAAGCAGAGGCGTCAAACATTGGATTCACTGTTTGCTAACATGAAGGAGCAGAGGATGAAAGTCTTTTCACGACAAAACAAAGTTGTACAACACAATGGCGGCGGCGGGCGGCCAAGGGTGCCATGGGCAAGAGGTCGATTCTGATTCAAACTCTTGTAACATGCCAGTCAGAGTAGGTGTTTGTGGCGCCAAAGCAGAGTCTTCTGTGATCATGTCCTTCTCAGTTTCTGTGGACCCTGTTTGTTCAAGTTGGGGTGTGCTTCAGTTTCTGTAAATTTTCATTTCTGCTCGTCATCTTGTACTATTTTCAGCATGGTAAAATAGTACTATTTTCATCTTGTACTATTTCTGCTCGTCATCTTGTACTATTTTCAGTTTCTAGTGGCATTGTATATCAGTTGCAGGATATTAATGCAATTCATGCCTTCTCAGAAATTCGTAGTTGATCGTTTTTCCACCTTTGCAAGCACTGCTTAACTCGTTGCTGTCGAATGCATGGTTTTTGTCCTTCACTGCCTGGTGAATGCAGATATCAAGTCTAAAGATGGATGGATTTTGGTGCTTTTTAGAGAGATAATTGACTTGTTCTGTTGTCGCTTTTATCTCTCCCTCCTGCAGCAAATTGCAATTACAATGACCAAAAAAAAAAAACACTGTTTGACCTGTGGTAATCTCTATGGTGCGCCATGTTTTAGTGATTTTGCGGAGAGATGCTTCTTGACAGATTGAGAGTTTGTGATAGGAAGTGAAAGCTAAAGCAACGATTGTCGCTCTGCCCTATCGAATCTAATGTTCCTATTGATATTCAATGCTCTTGACTTGACGATCGCTTGGAATGCCAACCAGTTTAGTTACGGCCACCCTAGCGTCCCACAGGCCCAGTAGCAGTAAGGTAGAGTTTGGCTTTGGTAAAAATTCTTAAAAAAACAATTGTTCAAAAATATTTTTTTATTGGTCTCAAAAGATAAATCTAAAAAATAAAATAAAAATAAAAAAAATATTAGAAAATATCCAAAAACATCGCTATTACAATATTAAATTAAACGCTATTTTAAAATACAAAGGGACGCGGTGTACGAATGTGAGATTTGCATCTATACTCTAATCTTCTAATGAGTTAAGAGTCACTTGGCATAATTATAGGTTAGAATATCTGAACGGTAGATGTTGAGAGTGCACATCTTCTTCGCTGAGGAACTTTTAAGCAAAATGGCTGGGGAACCGTCAACGACATCGGGGAAGGGCCATTAAGCTCAGGATAGTAATATATATAATAATTGTGTCGACCACAACAAGTTGGGGTTGTAGCTCATCTGGTAGAGCGCTCGCTTCGCATGCGAGAGGCACGGGGTTCGATTCCCCGCAGCTCCAGCTCGTATATTTTGTCTGACAAAATTATTATTCTTTTAATCGAATTTAAGTAATCAGCCACGTGGCAGTGAATAAAGCCCCCGCTTGTCTCTCGCTGTGGCTGTCCTTCCCGCACACCTCTGGTTTCTGATCTCTTCATCCAAACAGTAACCACAAACAAACTACGCCAGAAAACAAAAACCTCCCTCCCTCCTTTCTTTCATCAAATTTCCTTTTCTAGAAAGGAAAAAAGAAGAATGACAGTAAACTTAGGCTCCTCCTCCCGCCTCGCTCTCTTGTTCTCACACTCTCCTCCTCCTCCAGTCTCCAAACTCTTTCCAAAACCAAACTACACTACTACTGCCACTCTCATCTCCCTCGTATTTTCTTTCAATAAAACCACTCCATTCCTTTCCACTTCAAGAACACCGTCCTTAAAACCACTCCCTTTTTCCCTAAGCCAATCCGATAACGAAATCGTAGACAACACCAACTCTGTGTTATCACTAAACGAAGAGTCACTTTCTAGAATCTCCGCTGCTAAAGACGCCAATGAAGCATTACAAATTATCGCCGAAATTACTAACAGAAGGAACGGTTTAGTTAGTGTAACCGATTGTTGTGGTATTATAACTGCCGCCATTGATCGCTGCAATGCCGATTTGGCTCTCTCTGTTTTTTACGCTATGCGTTCCAGCTTCGACCAAGGTAGTTTGTTTGTTGTCAATAAGTAGCATTCAATTTTTTATTTTATTATTTGATTTGATTTTCAGGTGATACTGAGATTGAGAGATGGAAATGGTCACGGCCGGATGTCAGTGTTTACACGTCATTAGTTCAAGGTCTTGCTGCGGCTTTGAAGGTTTCTGACTCTCTTAAGATGATTGATTATATTTGCCGCATTGGAGTATCGCCTAGCGAAGAGGTAAATGCTGATATATATATATATATATATATATATATATAAAATAAAAACAAACAAACAAAAAATTAAGTAAATTAACTTCGGATGTTTGTGGTTTTGGTAGGTTCCGTTCGGGAAGGTAGTAAGATGTCCAACTTGTATGATAGCTGTTGCTGTTGCACAACCTCAGCATGGCATTCAGGTATTTCAATACAAGGATGAGGTTTTCATAATGAGCTTTAATATATTTATATTGGGATATGATTAATGTCGACTCAAACTGAAAAAAAGCTACCATTTTGGGAAGGGTCTGATGCTTCTGATCATAAAAAGTATAAGTTTATTGCTTGCAATGTTGTTGTTTGAAATGTTGTGGTGATAGTATATAATGCTTTTGCTGTAGATTGCATCTTGTGCCAAGTGCCGATACCAGTATGAGCTTGTTTCTGGGGATATCACTAGTATTGACTCAGAAGCAATCAGGTTGGTTTACTTCCATCTGTATTGTTGCAATCAAGCTACCTGCTGTCTGTTGTGTTTGTAAAGTTTAAAATATGTAGTCCAGTGTTTCTTATTTGATAAGGTACAGTTTGAACAGATAGATTCCTTTTTACAATAAAATTAGTATGGTGTTGATCTTGGGATATTCACTTTTTCTAAGGAACTACTCCTGCCGAACGCAGCATGGATCTTCCAGCTTGGGAAAGGGGGCTGAGATTTTTGCAAATAATGAAGCAAAGTATTCCTGCAGCTGTTCACTCCATTGTGGTATGTTTTTCTTGAATTTCAATGTCAACTGGTTCTTGTGCTTTTATGAGTTTTATGAAACATACAGGTTGTTGTGCTATTTTAACTTTTAAGGCCATTACTGCTTATGTTTCTTGGGTCTAAAAAGCTCTGCAGTTGCGGGATGAGATTGTCATGATAGTTCAAAATGGTCGAATATTTTTTTGTCAGTACCAGGAAGTTATGTTTTGCAAGTTGATCTAATGTCCTCATGCTAGATAGGATACTTAAGTTCCATACACCATTAATGCCAAATTTTGCTTTTTGTATGCTTAAAAACTCATCTTCAATAGCAACCTTTATGCAATCCCATGTGGCAAGTTTTGCCATCCCATGTGACATAGTGGTATATCCTTGTCTGTTGTCCTAGTAGATTATGGAGACCTGGATTTTGATCTTTATGCTTCTTTTCTCACTGTACGTTCACTGGACTAAATTCATATTAACTAAGAATACCTCCTGATTAGACCTTCAAATGGTATCTTAAGTTTCCAATCTTTTGCTGTGCTCATTCCCTTTAAACATCTTCTAGTAATTTCAATGCATCTCTACTTTTCAGGTACAGACCCCTTCTGGTATGGCACGTACACAGAGATTTGCTACTGAAACAGTTGACCTTCCAGCACAAGAAGGTGAAAGGGTGACCATTTCTTCAGCAGCTCCATCAAATATTCATAGAAATGTTGGCCCCTTTAAATTTAGTCCAAAGGCACCCAATGTCTACCCTGGAGAACCTTTGTGCCTGATGAACCATGAAAATGATCGGGAGTCACTTCTGTTAAGAGCCCCTGTAAAAGATGGAAAGTTATCCTTGCTTAGCCCTTCTGTCCTTGTTCCACTTCTTGCTGTCTTGGCTACTGGAGACGCTGCATCTGGTATTATTGATCCCAGCTTGCCCCAGTTCCTTTTAGTTCCTGCTATTTCTTCTCTGGGTGTTGGAGCTAGTCTAAATAAACTAGTTCTCCCGAGATTGAACCAGGCGAGCCTCATTCTCCTGTTTTCTTGGGTTTTTTCCTGTTGACAATTCTCTGCCATTGAGATACCAGACATGGGCTTAAGACTTTCTTCTAGCTCCTAATCTATTCATGTAATTAAAGTTCCAGCATTTAGCTACTACACTCTGCTTTTCTTTTTCCTTGTTTTTTGCATGTCCTTTATGTCCAAGCACGATTTGCATCTTAAACAGAATAATGATTCTCTGATTCCTATGACTCCATGCTTTGTTTAGACTGTCACTGTTGTAAAGCTGCTACTTGTAATTCAATGAAGTTAAATTTGTTTAAGTGACATAAATGGTCCGCAACCCTAAAGATTCTGTTGAGAACACAAAATGAATACTCATTTCTTTGTTGTTGCCAGCTTCCTCAAAAGTCAGTGGATGTAACTGCAATCAAGCAGAAGTTGTTATCTCAATATGATGTACTTCAGTCTCGCATCAAGGAACTAAAAGAAGCAGCTGAAAAAGAGGTATTCCTGTGCATACCATGACTGGTACTATCACAACTTCAATGATTAGTTTCTTGATATGGTTGTAATTTCTTAACTGAGGTTTCACATTGTTGGAACGTCAAGTGCAACTGATGTGCTCAAAAGATTTGAAAGAAATGGCTGTAATATGTCTATATGTTGCATGTATAGGTATGGATGTTGGCTCGGATGTGTCAGCTGGAGAACAAAATTTTTGCTGTTGGAGAACTTTCTTATCGGTGAAACCCCCTTGACACTCCAGTAATCCAGTTCATAATATTTACTGAGTTCATTCCAAACCTATTGTAGCTCACTCCCTTCATTCTCTCAGTGCTCGTATGGATAGGGTGAAAAGGGTCCGAGAAGGATTGGAAAAGTCACTCAAAGGACTGATTGGACTCATCGATAGCTATGCAAGAGTATGTGTTTGACACTATAGGAGGGAAAAAAAAAACAAGAAAAGAAAACTCAACCTTTTCCCCCTTTATTCATTCCCATCACCCAATTTCAACACCAACAAATGCACACATTTGTGTTTCAGTTTCTGCTTCCAGATTGGGATCAGTTAAGATGGTTACTGTTCACTTGCAGATTTCTTCCATGATTGAAATTGAAATTGAAATGGACTCTGATGTTCTCGCTGCTGAAGCAATGAGCAATGTGGTGTGTGGCATTTCAGTTGCTTTGTATCCTTGATCTCACAATGCTGATATAAAGCTACTGAACTCAGTAATTTTTGTTTGCAGGAAAGCATTGCTGAAAAGATACAGAAAATTATGGAACTGGAAAATCTTGAAGAGGCAGGTTTTTTTAGTCTTTACCATCTCTGAAAGCAAAATAGTCGGATTGTGAATGTCAAAGCCAAACTTTAATATAATTACAGCAAAAGAAGAGCTAAAACTTGGATTTTTATGAAATGAGTATACAAATGTGACTTGGTCGTGAACTCTTGAGCTTAACTGTATTGGATTCTTCAAAACAAACAGATCAATAGAAAGAGAAGAGGCCAGCTGTGTAAATGATCTGGATATCCATTCGTTGTGCAGTTTGCTTTGGGTTTCCATTTATTCTCTCTCCTTCTTCTTCCTTCTTTCTTTGTATTTATTAAAAGAAAATTCTTGTTTGATGCAGAGATGGAGACTACAAGCTGAAGCAAATGATGAGGCTGAAAGACTACTTAGTTCCCAACCTGTACCTACCGAGCAGGTTTAGCCATGGTTCTGGTTAGAATTCAGCCACTGACTTCCAGTTTGCGAAGTGTTACATTGATATACCTTAGGCCCCTGCTCAAGAAGATGTGCTCGGTTGAATCATCTAAAAAGCAGGCAGCAAATACACTAGCGTGAATGCTAACCCATGATCAGAACTACCATAAATTGTACATCTATGCGTAGATATGGAGGATCAGAAGCTAGCTGCTTGGTGGTGTCACAGCCGAAAATAGATATGGAGGATCAGAAGCTAGCTGCTTAAAGCTTTTCTGGAACTCATTGAGTAATTAACTCATTCAAGCAACAAACGTAATTCTCAAGTGTTTGAACGTATGTTAATGGAAATCGTAAAATAGATCACCTCACGTGAATGTTGTAACACTCATGTCTGTACAGATATGGGGACTTGCTTATAATTTTCTTCCTTATTATTGTAGTTAATTTCTGATTATTCTGCAGAAAGAAGTTAGAACCATTCGTGTTTCCTTTTGTGAATCCCGGATTACGTCAACAATGAATAGGATGTCAAGGTGTCTCCATCAGATGATGTCCTGTAGTAGTCCGGTGAGTGGATTTCTTGTTTTTCCGACTACATGATGCATATGTTTTTGGTCAAAAGTCGGTTGAAGCTAAAATAGGTGGCAAGTATATTTCATGGTTGAATCAACGTTGCCACTGCAATTCGTTGCCTAATTCAGCATTGCTGTTGGTCGGAGCAACAAAGCATATGCAAAGTCAATCAGTTAGCTCTAAGGATTTCTTTTATTTTTGTCGTTTTGTTTTTGTTTTTGCCATTGTTTTCTTGTTTTTCTAGGTTTAGTTGTGGGAGTCATTTGGAAAAAAAAAAAAGAGACTCGTATCAGTTTGTTTCTAATTTTATTTATTTTTTTTAAGAAAAGGGGAAAGAAGATGAGAGGAGAGGGTGGCTGAGGATGACAGGGATTTGCCCTCTTCTTTCCCTACCATGTCTTACCGATATTAGTAAAGGGTTTTGGCTTTTACTTTTGCGGGTTGTAAAACCTGCAAATCTAAATTAGAGAATTCGAGCTTCTTTTGCATGTAAAGTACGAGAATTTTAGCAAGACAAAAAGCAAGATGACACGAGGAAACCTTGTTAAAGAGATGATCTGAACTCCTTTTTGCTTTTGTGTGAAGCCAGGACGACGAAACAACATGCAACTCAGTTCATGAAATTGATACTTGTGTCTAAAAAGCAGGTGTGTGGCTTGTAAATGGCATTACTGCTTTTACACATCATGTTAGAAAAGCTAAATTAGACCTAAGAATCATTTTAGGCATGATGATGCTGATTGACAAAATAATTAAAAGACATGGGTTCCGTTATATTCTTCATATGAATAGCGAACCAATTAACTCTTTTTTTCTCATTTTTAAATGTTTTTTTTCTTTTCAGTTATATCATTCTATTGCCTAATTAGAAAGAAATTAAGCTTGAGATTATGATAAAAATAAAATATTTAAATAAAGACTAACATGTAAAACAAGAAAAAAAATGTATAACTAGATATATTAGCCACAATTTTCTTTTTGATTCAAAGTTTATTTTTCTCTATTTTTTAGTTTTTGAATAAGAGAAAAAAAAAAGAAAAAATCATTTTAAAACAACGAGAAAAGAAAAGATGAACGGTTAAAATCGAATACTCATCGGTGTTACAATGATAAAAATTTGATGGTGATGATGTTTTTTTAAACATCTTTAATAAAAAGATTGGGCTCAATTTAAAGATTTTTTAGTTATTTAATTTTTATTTTTAGATGATTTTGGGGTATTTTAGGATTATTAAATGGTTGGTAGAGAGTTTTATTGTGTTTTAGATGTCTTCTTGAATGAAAATGGGTTTTCAACCTAATCTAACTTAAAAAAATTTTATTGTTTTGATTATCAGGTGGTAGCTAAAATCTAAGTTATTAATTAAAAAAATAACATATCATTTATCATAATAGACGTCTATCAAAGGCTTATGCTCCAGGGCTATTTTTTTAAGGCTTGAACATGATATGGCACTTAGCCCCACAAATCTGGTTTTTTTGTGTTTTTTTAATTTTTTTAATTTTTATTTTATCTTTACTTTTTAATATTAAGTTTTTATTGATTTTTTATGAAAATCCTTAAATATTTTTTTTAATTGTGAATTTTTTTATTTTTTATTTAACAAAATAAAATAAAATAACTAAACCCAACGAGGTCTATCAAAAGGGGTAGGGGTTTAATGTTTTCATTAGGGTTCACGTAATTTTTTTTCCAGGTTTTTCCTTTGAATTTATCAAGATAATAATGTTATATTGATATAACTTTCATATAATTTAATTTAAATTTTAAATTAAGTAAAGACTTGAGTTGGAAGTTGTCAAGTTTGCTTTGTTACACCGTTATATCAGGTTTAATGATAATACCTAAAAAAAATTATAACATCTTGAGTATATATATATTTTTATGTTTAAGAAATTTTTGGTTCAAATTGCAGTGTAGCGCAGGAAATAACTAGTATAATCTAAAATCAAATCAATAAAAGTATGACAATCTCTTTAGCTACCTTTTAATTATTTGTCGCCTCAAAACGAACATATTCGAGTCCTGGAGGTTTGTGTAGAACCATCAGGGAATGTTAATCTCATTGACTAAACGGGACGGGAGAGGGGTGTTTTAAGTGCTTTGCTGTTCATAATAAATAGTTAACAATTATCAAGCTTCCCTTTCTTTCTTTTTTCACGATATCAGGTTTTTTTATTTATTTAATTATTTTGTGATCTAATTTTATGAAATAAAATTTTACATTATAAAACGTGAAAAAAACTTGTGGTCAACCTCAAAGTTTTTACAGTTTTCATTTTATTGCAAAAGTATATCTTATTTAATTTTTAATCCTTGGCTTCGAAAAAGAAAAGTAACATTCCAGCTATGAAAAAACTCATGTTTTGTATCAACAAATTTCATTTTATATGAGAGTTTCATAAAAATGTTCTATCAACAAATTTCATTTTATATGAGAGTTTTATAAAAATGTTTTTTTTTATCTTGCATGAAAAAATAAATCAGATTTAAAAAATATTTTTTTCTTAATTTGAAGCTTGATTTTTTAATCATCTATCCGGTAGTTGAAAATTGGGCAGACAAATAACACGTTATCTATCACAGCAAATAACACCACGTTTGCTTTTGTTTTTTCTAGAGTTGCCAACATTGAAAAAAATAAAAAAAAGATAAAAGATAAAAGGCAGGCATGTAAACTTTGCCTTAAAGGCCACATGGGCTGGTTGCCAAACTCTATTTATTTATTTAACTCATTATGCTCTTTCATATGTATATTAAAAATATCAATTTATTAGATATAATTCAATTTACATTTATATTTTATGACTTCATAGCATTTCTTGATAACATTATCAAATTTGTTACATAAAGATATCATAAAAATAAATAACTTTAAAATATCATTTTTAAGAATAAGATTATAGTTTTTTTTTAATAAAATGATCAACAACTTCTTTTCTACTGTCCTTCATGATTTTTATTTATTTTTTTAATTTTAATTTTTGAATCTTTTGCATGATTTTTTTAAACATTCTCAAAAAAGTTCCAGTGTATTATTTTTTATATTTATTAATAGATTTTCAGCATAATAATAAAACCATTAATTATTTTTTATCAAATCTTGCTTTTATGATTCTTGCATATTTTATTTCTTTAAAAAATAAAAATAATGATAAAAAAACTCCCAAAAACCACATTAAAGTTTTGATTTCTTGGATATTTATTCTAATTCCCCTCGACTTTTACCAAATGAAGTACATTGTTAAGAAAATATATTTTTTTTAATTGAAAAAATAGATTGATAAGAACAAGCTAGTAAATTATTTTATTTTGATATAAAATCTAAACTCATAATATCCTTATTAAAATATATGAATAACTTTCAGCATCACGAGATCGGATATATTGATTTGTAATTATCTCTCAACTTCCTCAGCAGTCAGGAAGCCATACATCTGTACGGCCCAAAAGAAAAGAAAAGGAAAGTTATTCTTCTCTCCCTCTCCCTTTTATTTTTCTTTTGGATATTGTCTATCTCTGTGTCCTCTGAGTGGAAGAATATATACGAAACTGCAGAGCATGCCATCTCTCAGCTCTTTTGTTTTATTAATAGCTTGATTTACGCAGATTGGGTTTTTTTTAATAAGAAAAAAGTGTGAAAGTTGTAGGCATTTTCTTATCATCAAAAAATCAAATATCAGAGTTTATGCTTGTATTTAATAAAATAAATTAAATATTATATGTATAAATAAATAATAACAATAATTTTATTAATTTTAATAAAAGATATAAGAGCTTTCTATGCCATGCGTGTATAGTGCTGAAAAAGGAAAAAGTTATTCTATTCTCCCTCTCCTTTTTATTTTTCTTTTGGATATTGCCTAGTTTTTTGTCCTTAATGGGTGGAATAATGCCCCATATTTGTTTTTATATTTTTAAAATATTTTAAATATTTTATTTTTTTTCAAAAATTTAGATCATTTTAATATACTAATATTAAAATAAATTAAAATATATATTATTTTAATATATTTTTAAATAAAAATTATTTTAAAAATAACCATAAAGCACGCTACTATATAAAATATCAATTCTCTCACTTAACCTTTGTTAACTCACTTTATTCTCCAACAACAAATTAATGTAACAAAAAAATAAGATAAAATAACTGGCTGAGTAGCACATCACACATGGTTATCACCATTATCCTACACACATGGCTTATTGCATATTAAATTTGTTAATTTCTAATTAAAAAATTAAAATAATTTTATGGATGTAATTATATTATATTTTTAAGTTATTTAAATTGTATATACATTTTTACTTCAATTATATATTTTAAAGTGTTTGAATTTTTATATTTTATATTTTACTCTTTGCTCTAATTATGGTACTTAATTATTTGGCTAAAATTATTAGTATATAATTAATTAAAGAAATATTATGATTTTACTATACAAATACTGTATTTTTCGTTTCATATAAAAAAAAGAGTGTTTTTACCATACAAATACATGCTGGGGAAAGAAGTTCACTACATTCTGCAACAAAAAGATCCCTGTAACAGACAAAACTCCGACCGCCACCACGTGGCTGATCACCTCCTCTTCTTTCTCCTTCAAAAGTATTTTTATAAACACGATAACGTAACCCTCCATAAATACTGCACTTCATTCTCCCTTGCTAACTTCCTCCCTTTATATAAGCATACAAATCCTCTCCCTCTCTTGTTTTTTCTTCTTCTTCTTCGGGATATTACTGTTTTCATGGCGAAGAGTATTTTGGTTACCGGCGGTGCCGGTTACATAGGGAGCCATACGGTGCTGCAGCTTTTACTTGGCGGTTACAGCATCGTGGTTGTTGATAATCTCGACAACTCCTCTGATATTGCTCTTAAAAGAGTTAAAGAACTCGCCGGTGATTTCGCTAAGAACCTCGTCTTTCACCAGGTTCGTTCCTTCTGTCACTCTCTTCTCTTTTTTTTTTTTTTATTGTTGTTGCTAAAGAATTGGTGGTTTACATTGAGTATTAATTAGCTAATTACGCGTTTAATTATGATTATCATTGGTGATTTTGAGTCAATTAGGTTTTGTATAGATTTGATAATAATTTTTGTGGGACATAACGGAAATGTAGACTGTAGCTGGGTGGGCCCACTTATACTTACAACTGGGCACTGTGTCTACATATATAGATATATATATATGATTGCCGACGGATGGTGTGATATTTGAATTTGTGTATTAAATTTGCAGGTTGATCTCCGGGATAAGCCAGCACTGGAAAAAATTTTTGCCAGGACAAAGTATGATCAGCCTTTTTATTTAGTTGTTTATATGAGATTTTGCAGCTGTGTATTATTTTATTGTGATCATGGATAGTGGAAATGACTGTTATTTGATATTTTGATTAATTTGTGCTGTTAGATTATAATGTTTAACACTGTTACTGTAGTTGCATTTCTAATTTTCGTTCTCAAATTTGGTTGACTGTTTATGCTGCAGATTTGATGCTGTCATTCACTTTGCTGGGCTGAAAGCGGATGGTGAGAGTGTGCAGAAACCATTGCTTTACTTTAACAACAATCTCATTGGAACAATTACCCTGCTAGAAGTTATGACTTCCCATGCATGCAAGCAGGTAATTTTCTTTAGGTTGATTTGTAGTTATATGTGACATTCTATATAAAGGTCAAGGCATGCTTGAATAATCTTTGATTTTTTTTTTCTATGTTTTCAGTTGGTGTTTTCATCTTCAGCTACTGTTTATGGTTGCCCAAAGGAGGTTCCATGTACAGAAGAGTTTCCTTTGTCTGCTGCCAGCCCATACGGAAGAACCAAGGTTTGCTTATAATGTTCATTAAATGCATCCAGAATACATATTTGGAGAGGGAATTGTATGGCCTTTAATCTCTTCGGCTCATACTGAGCTTGCTGCCTTATGGTGTTTAACAAAAATTCAGCATGGATTCTTTATCTTTGAACGCAGTTGTCATCTGACAAGCTTCATATTTCAGCTCTTCATTGAAGGGATCTGCTGTGATATCTACCGTTCAGACTCTGAATGGAAGATCATTTTACTTAGATACTTCAATCCAGTTGGTGCACATCCAAGTGGTTATATTGGTGAGGATCCACGTGGAATTCCAAACAATCTCATGCCCTATGTGCAGCAAATTGCTGTTGGCAGGCGGCCTCATCTAACCGTTTATGGAACTGATTATTCAACTAAAGACGGTACTGGGGTATGTTTACACTGTCAGCATTCTGCCTTTATTACATTTTTCACATATTCGTGCGACTGTTTTGGTGTTTGAAGCACAAACACAATTTCTGTGATTAATTTACACATTCCAAATTCTAAATATTTCAACCTGTCAGGCACAGTTGATTGTCAAGAAACCTTCAAACTGTGTGTCAATAATCAGGTTAAGGAGCATTAAAAAAATATTTTAAAATAGGAGAGTCTTTTCATTAGTAAATCTGCATACTGGGCTGTGTTCATCTGAATGTTTTGTGTAACTAGGAACCTGGTAATGCAGCTGTTTTTCTCTCTGGCTTCCTCACAATCAAATGGGTTTTGTAAACTGTGTTTCCCACTTTGCATGATGGACCCAGAGTTATTGGTTTGTGGAACCTGTCTTCTTTGGTTCAAGACTATCAAAGGATGGTTGTGAACTTGATCCTCTTTTGGGTACTAGGCTTAGGTGTGCTTCTGCTGCTAACTCTTTCCTTATATTCAGTCCTCTTGATGGCTTTTATGTCTTTCCAGGTACGTGATTACATTCATGTTGTTGATTTAGCGGATGGGCACATTGCTGCATTGCATAAGCTCTCTGATGCTAATATAGGTATGAACTTATGCCATTTCCTTTATGGCAACCCAATTTTTTTCTCATATGCATTAACTTGCAAGCTCACAATTTGGTAGCTCTTGAATTGTTGTGCATTCAAACTGATTGTTTTCATTGCTTGGAGTTCATCTCATTAAAATCTGATGAAATTGGACCTGATTGGTGCATCTCACAACAGGTTGTGAAGTGTACAACTTGGGAACAGGAAAAGGTACATCTGTTCTGGAGATGGTTGCGGCATTTGAGAAGGCATCTAGAAAGGTACTGAAATTTTTTGGTGTTGCTTGCCTAACTTCTTAAAGTTTCTGTATTGCTTTTCAGTATTGAGAAACTGTGATCCTGCCATGGAGTTGTTGCTTGTGTCTTTGCATTGAGAAATTTATTGAATAATATGCTTCTCATAAAGTAAGAACTAATATGGTGTTTGGTCTTGTGCCCATGACATAACCACTCACATCTAGTTTGTGGGGGGTGCCCATGTTTAGAGCTTTGTAATAGCAGGGAAGAGTATGATGCTTCCAGGTTAGACTTCATCGATGATAGTAGAAGGAAAACATGAATCAGACAGGAGCCTAAGAAGATATCCCTTTCAATTTGCCCCTCCTTGTTTCAAATTAATCTTCAGTAGATATTGAATTTCACTCTGGATGGATGAAACTGGAAATAGCTTGAACCATGTTCTTCAAAAAAATTTGCCTGTACTTATTTCTCCTGATAGTTCTTTCTTCTTGTGCCAGGAAATTCCCCTTGTAATGGCCCCACGGCGACCTGGTGACGCTGAAATTGTGTATGCAGCTACAGAGAAGGCAGAACGTGAATTAAATTGGAAGTAAGTGTGAAGATGCATACCATGTGGCAAAAAGTATTTGAGGGGATGAAATTCTGAAAAATTAAGAATGAGCCATATATCTGCATAATAAAAGCTGCTTTGGCATTGTTATCTATAGTAGATCTTGTCAAATTTCCTATATTTTCCTCACAACATGTGTAATCTTGCAGGGTAAAATATGGTATTGATGAGATGTGTAGGGATCAATGGAACTGGGCCTGCAAGAACCCTTATGGCTATGGATCTTCTGACAGCACTAACTAAAGTTCATATCCGTATCTATCACAGACTAAATACTGTCTCGTGTACTGTAATGTCTTCCAAAGTATTAGGTTCTCGAAGTTTCACTCGGGAGTTTTTATTTGATAAACTTGCTGAAGATATCATCCTAGAATGAGCTGCCATGCCGTGCTGGGTTGCTTCTGTTTAGATGGTTCAATTTGTTGTCCCTATTGTGGAATAGAGACATTTTTTTTAAGATAACATATCGATATTCACTCTTTAACGAAGAACCCTTTTCTAATCTGGTGTCCCTTGTTCTCTGTTTCATTTTCGTGTTTCTGGAGGCAACAATCTGTAGTCATACCATCGATAACATTAAATTTGCTTCAGGATGGTAAATCACAGAAAACCACGAAGTCTGCAACTTTTGTTCATGAAAACAACAGATGTCCTGCTGACCCAAGAGAGGTGACTTTTGTTTGCGGGTTTGTAAATCTTGGATTTATGCGGTTATCATGAGTGGAAGCTGCAAGGGGAAGGGTGATTGAATCTGCCTGTCTTGTTCTGCACTTAAAATTTTCCGACCACAGGTAAAATTTTCCGACCACAGGTTCCTGATTCAATTATACAGAGAAATTATTAAATGCTCTCCGTGTTTTAATTTTGGATTTCTACCTCTAGTTTTTAATTTTACTTTTATGTGAGAGGAGGAGAAGCATTATGTCCAAAATATCATTTGATATTCTTGAGATGCAACACTTGGCAATCATCTGGCTTCATTTCCTTTTTTCTCTTAAAAAAATATTAAAATAAAAACTCGGATTATTTTTTTTGTCAGTGTTAAAAGGTAAAACTACCAGATATTGTCATAATTTGTTAATACCATTTTATTTGGTTTTGAATTGTTTTAATATTAATTATTGATTTCATGTTTTTTGAAAACGAAATGCAAAACAATCAATTTTTTTTTTTTAAATGGTGTGACATCAAAGGACCCCAATAAATAATTTAGATTATACCATAAGAAATCTCAGCATCTCGAATCTCATAATCGTCATCGTTGAGGATCCAAAAGCCTTATTATTGGTGTCCAAAAAGGAAAATAATTCTTGTCATTTAACAAAGGAGGTTAAAATCAAAGATGACGAAGAGAGTTCTTAGGTATATCAAATGGAGGCCGTAATTTTCTAACGAGTTTACAAGTAACAGTATGTTGACCTTTAATTTAATCACAGATAAATACTCGTACAATACTGAAAGTACATGCTCAAGTCTACACAAAAAGGAAGAATCGAGTCTCCGATGCGTGGCTTGAAAATGATTTTACTTTGGGTGTCTTTTGCGTTGCGGTTCAGTTGTTTTGTCATTATTTTATATTGAATTAATTTTTTTGAATTGTTTGATATCTTAAAATTAAAATAAATTTTAATATATTTATAAACAAACTTTTTTTAAATCAAAACTACTAATGCAATATCAATCATTTTAAACATATTTATTTTTAAATTATAAAAATAATTTTTAAAAAATAATTTTTTTTGGTACTAATTTTTTTTTAATATATTAATATTAAAAATAATTTTTTAAATAAAAAATATTATTTTAAAAAATAACACTATTATTCTCTTCCAAATATATAAAGATGTGTTTTACATTGTATTTTAAAAAAATTTAAAATTTTTTATATTTTTATTTTAAATTAATATTATTTTATATTTTTTGATTATTTTGATATATTAATATTAAAAATAATTTTTTAAAAATAAAAAAATTATTTAATATATTTAAAATGAAAAATATTTAAAAAAAACAATTACCGAAATCTAAATCCATCCCGAGCTGGACTTCAAAATAGTGAATCGAGCTAGCCAGGAATGCTATTCATAAATCCAATTATTTTTTCCTTGATGCCCCAAAGATCAAACACACCTTTGAAACGAGTATAAAAAAAGCAGTGTAATCTAGTCATGGAGAACTTGATTTCTTTAAAAACGCGCTTCTCCTTCTCTTCTCTGCTCACACTGATCGATCTGAACCTGACCCTGACCTCACCTGATCACCCTCTCCGATTCAGTCATGGAGAACTTGATTTCTTTAGTTAATAAAATTCAAAGAGCTTGTACTGCTCTTGGTGACCACGGTGAAGCTACTGCCCTACCTACTCTTTGGGACTCCTTACCCTCCATCGCCGTCGTCGGTGGCCAGGTCATCCTCCTTATCTCTCTCTCTCTCTCTCTCTCTCTCTCTCTCACTTTAGCAAACTTGTGACCTAGATGTTTTTTGCCTTACAGTTTTTTTTTTCTTTTTATAGAGTTCTGGGAAGTCATCGGTGCTGGAGAGTGTAGTAGGGAAAGATTTTTTGCCTCGTGGTTCCGGTAATTGACTTGTGTCTCTTGTTTTCGTTGCCGAATTATTTTGGGTTTTTTCTGCAATTGGAATGAGAAAGTGATGTGATTGTTTGTGCCTGTAGGTATCGTTACACGTCGGCCACTTGTGTTGCAGCTTCATAAGATTGATGAAGGAAGTAGAGAATACGCTGAGTTCCTTCATCTCCCGAGGAAAAGATTTACTGATTTCGGTACATTTCTTTTATCTATCCTGTGTTGTTTATGTATAGATATAGGAAATCTTTGGTGATTATATTGTGTCCGTGTTGTTGTCATTGCGTTGGTTGGATGGTGGTTGCTTGAATTGTGGTTGTTGATGGTGATTTGTGCGTGTAGCTGCGGTGAGGAGGGAGATTCAAGATGAGACTGATAGAGAGACTGGCCGAACAAAGCAAATTTCTAGTGTTCCAATTCATCTTAGTATTTACTCTCCTAATGGTAAGTCTAGTTTGAGTCTGAAACAGCCTTATCTAAAGTAGCTCATGCTTCTGGTTTGTATCTCACTTATGGAAACAAATTCATGTTTATGATTTTTTTTTCCTATTTGTATTTAACCACATTTACATACATTTAACCCCCCCTTCTTTTTCATTACTTTTGAATTTGCATGACTCTTTTGGATTTTGGCAGTTGTGAACTTGACATTGATCGATCTTCCTGGGCTTACTAAAGTAGCAGTCGGTGAGTTGCATTTGTGCTTCTACTCTTGGCTCCCCAGTTATCTGCATGCTTTCTTCTTCTTCAGTATTCTTCAGGTTACTTAGAAGCTGAAGGAAAATGAACGGAATATGGATTTTAAACCTGACACAAAATATTTTTTCTCATATCAACTCAACTCAACTTTTGTTTACACAACATTCTGGTTACTTCAAGAAATTCTGAGAATCAACTAGCATGAAGTGAAAAAAAAATATCTGCTATTTTCCACCCTCTCTACCTCATCATTATCAGGTTATATTGTAAACAGTTTATGAATATCCAATCTGTATTTTCAAATGCAGAGGGTCAACCAGACAGTATTGTGCATGATATTGAAAACATGGTTCGCTCTTATATCGAGAAGGTAACGCACATTTCATTCCTCTATACTTCTTCTATCCTGTTGGAATACCTTTGTAAAGTGGATATCTTCACTCTTGTAGATGCAAGTTTTTCATGAAAACACTTGGAAGCTTAGCAAGCAAATGATTCTTAGAAAATTTGCATAATCATGTTTTTTTATATTCTACCATTTTTCTTATGCCATAGTGTTCTTTCATATTTTGATCTAATGAAACTTCACAAAGTCAAGCTATTTTGTTTGCTAAAATTTAATGCAGCCCAACTGTATAATTTTAGCCATTTCACCCGCCAATCAAGATCTTGCCACCTCTGATGCTATTAAAATCTCTCGTGAAGTGGATCCAACAGGTAATCTTGTACAGTATTTTTACTTACAAATCAAAACATCAAAATCTATGTTTATATCATTGAGTGCACAAACATCCATTCATATAACTCAGATGTTCTGGTTCTTACATTGTTCTGTTTTTCAGGAGAGAGGACCTTGGGAGTCTTGACAAAGATCGATCTTATGGATAAGGGCACTGATGCAGCTGATGTAAGTTGGATTAGCATCTTGTTTTGATTGTATAGACATAATGATGCTCCTTATATGCATCTTGGTATGCTTTTAAGCCCTGTAGATGCTGAGAATTCATTAGTATCTGGCTAGAAAATGTTTGTAAGCACAATTTTACACGAGTAACAATAGATCTCATGTTCAAGAGCCTTAAATCATATGATGAGCACTTTCTTCTCTTCACCTCTTTGTCCTTATCTCCTGGGAATTATAATTCCTACTCGGTTATAGTTGTGAAGTGCTTTATATGAAGACAGAAGCACTTCTCTCAGTGGATGACATACTATATATTTGGGTACTCTGATTTTGTATGCTTTTTGCTGGGCTGTGGCTTGGTAAATTTTTGAAATTCATGGTCGCTTTATACTTGGGGATTTATAAGGGGAATTACAGTTGAGATTCTTTTTCGGAACTGTTTAGTTGGAAAGAAATTAAGATATATGTTGCAAGTTTTCTAGGGCATCAAGTCAACATTTAACTAGCAGATTTGAAGTTAAATTTTCATGTTTCATTAAGGGAAGTAAGTATAAGGTTTTGAATGCTGCAACTGATGGCAACTGCCAGCATGCTGTGAGCTTAACCTAGGTTCTGTAGCTGCAGTGCTTGGAGAATGAAGGAAGATACTAGATATGCTTGTCTTCAAACCCTAACCAAACACTCTAATCTGTCATCGAAAATTTATGAAACTAGACTAAATATTAAAATGATATATAATAGCCCTGTCTTTTAAAAATAATCTTGACACTTTTAGAAATCCTAAAAATTAAAAAACCAATCTTACCCTAAACTACTGGCTATAAAATTTGGTAAGCATTGTGGTCACTGTGGATTACACAAGAGTCCTGCATGATAGAAGCTCTAAAGTTCAAAATTGTCAGAATCTCTTATATGTGGCTGTGGTATCCACTAATTTCCTGCTTGATGTTGCTTTTACATGTTTTTGCAATTTTGTTGCATCCTTGTTTTTCTATCAGAGATGTTACATGCCTTCAGCACTATCACAATCATGAGCTAATTTTTTGCCTTCTTAGATATTGGAAGGAAAATCTTATCGCCTAAAGTTTCCATGGGTCGGTGTGGTGAATCGCTCACAAGCGGATATTAACAAGAATGTTGACATGATTGCTGCTCGGCATAGAGAGCGCGAGTATTTTGCCAGCACCCCAGAATACAAGCACCTTGCCCACAGAATGGGTTCAGAGCATCTAGCAAAGATGCTGTCAAAGGTGGGTGATAAACTTTATGTCATTTCTCTTTTACTTTAGATATGTCCAAGTCTCATACATTTTGAAAAGCTTTGTAGTGTTATTGTAATAACCTAAATATTAATGATTAATACTGCAGCATTTGGAAGTTGTAATCAAGTCCAAAATCCCAGGCATTCAGTCCCTTGTCAACAAAACAATTGCAGAACTTGAATCTGAATTGAGTCGTCTTGGAAAGCCTATTGCTGCAGATGCTGGAGTGAGTCTGTTATTTAACTGTACATATTTTAACCACCTATAGGTATTTTAAGCTCAAGAAGAGTGAATATCCCTCTTTCCCTTCTGTGCATATATGTGGATTACTAATTGTCCTTGCTTGATGTGCAGGGAAAGATGTACTCAATAATGGAGATTTGCCGCCTGTTTGATCAAATATACAAAGAGCATCTTGATGGCGTGTATGTATCATCCTTCATTTTTTTTTCTTGCCTCTGACCAGCTTGATTTTGTGCTACATTTAATATTCTGTGCTTATCTTTTCAAGAAATTTAATTTGAAAGGTTAAATTGTTGTTTGCAGCCGATCTGGTGGTGATAAAATTTACAATGTTTTCGATAACCAGCTTCCTGCTGCTCTAAAAAGGCTACAGTTTGACAAGCAACTTTCAATGGAAAACATTCGGAAATTGATCACTGAAGCTGATGGGTATCAACCTCACTTGATAGCTCCTGAACAAGGATATCGTCGTCTCATTGAATCTTCTGTAGTTTCTATCCGAGGTCCTGCTGAGGCAGCTGTTGATGCGGTATGCATGATATTCAAAAAATTATTGAACATTCCCTCGGCATGATTGAAGTTACATTTCTTACTTCTGCTGCATTCTATTTCATCTGTGCTTTGGTTGAATTGATGTTGCTCATTCAACTTAGCTGCCATGTGTTTCCCCAAAACTCAACAGTTAATGATTTCGCATGAGACTTAGTGGAAGAAACAGTTTGAAGTTCCTCTAGGCTTCATACTCAATTCTAATCATGGATATTGCCAGCTCAAATGATCTAAATTATCTGTTTCAGAATGTGGTTCCTTAAGTGGATTTTTTTTGGCCCTAGGAATTGGTTCACCTGTGAAATTGGGATTCGAATATTCAGAAAACACTTCTCTCCATAATAAACTGGTTGCCTAGTCCATATGTTTACTATATCAGCCTCCTGGATTCCCTCTTCTTACCAGGCTGGGATGCAAAAAGTAAGGAGAGGGAGGGGGAACATAGTTGAGAGGGAGCGAAGCTGCATGTGGCTTCCACCTAGGGCAGGTCCTCTCTTCTCAGAGAGAGGATGGGAAGAGGGTCCCACATGATTTTTGGAGGGAAAAATTATAGATGGAGAAAGTTAGTTCTCTCTGCAGGAGTCCTTTCTTTTTCTTTTTTTCTCTTCTATGTGCAGTTTTGAATGTCGGTGCACTGCATGGTTCTTGGTTAGCTGATACATTTTTTTTTTATAATCCAGGTTCATGCCCTTCTAAAGGAGCTGGTTCACAAGGCTATCAATGAGACAATAGTAAGTTCCTATCATTTCCAAGTCTAATTGCTTCTATGCCCTTGTTTTTGGTGCACTTTGTTAGCAAGGTTTAAAGAGGTTCTTAATTTGTTATATTTATGTGAAGAGGGGGCTTATATTCCCTGAATTGATTGTGGTATGGTTCTGCGCGTGGTTAAGTACAATGACAGTTTTCCCTTTTCTTTTAAATGCTTTTGTCATGTAAGCAGCCAAATACATGGTGGCATACTAGAAGTTGAATTACCTTTTGGTATCAGTACTAAGCATTATGTAGTCAGTGAAATAAGGCATTACATTTTAGGAAAATGGAAAAGAATGCAGCTTTGAACTCAGTCTGGTCCTGTGTGAGAATTTTGCACCTACTAGAATTTTAAAAGGTGAGAGAAAGGGAAGGAAAGGAGAGAAGACTTGAGGGCCTGACATGGTGCTTTACAAGCAATGAACAAAATATTGACCAATACCTTGGAATGCATGGATGAAAGTTCCTGCTTCTCTTAGCTTGCAACACCTAATAGAGATCAAGCAAAAGTTGACCTTTTCCGTTATTTTAAAACATCTACTATTTGTAATGGATGTGTTCTGATAATGTGATCTGAAGGCATTGTTTGAGAATCAGTCTCATTTGTTGTAGGCATTTGATTCAATCCATTCAAAAATCTTAAATATTATGTTGCGTGAAGAAGATTGAGTCAAACTCAGTCATCTTGCTCTTGTTTTATCCATTTTCTGGAGTATTTTGATTACATTGGACCTGTTTTTTCATCATACTTCATTTGTCCTCTTCAGTTAATTTTTCAACCTGTTGGATAATACTACTTTTGATGTTTCTCAGGAATTGAAGCAGTATCCTGCTCTTAGAGTAGAGGTCAGTGATGCTGCTATTGAGTCACTTGAGAGAATGAAGCAAGCAAGCAAGAAAGCCACACTTCAGCTAGTCGATATGGAGTGTAGCTACCTGACAGTGGACTTCTTTCGGAAACTTCCTCAGGATGTTGACAAGGGTGGAAACCCTACACATTCCATATTTGATAGATATAATGATTCATATCTTAGGCGAATTGGTAAGTTTAATGAACTCAACTACTTTCTTATATTGATGATATGTACATCCTCCCTATTTAGCTATTTTCATGTTATATATATATATATATATATGTGGGTTATGGTATCAATTCTGCATGATTCACTACTGATCTTAGGATTTCTCCTGGCAATATGTGAACAGGATCTACTGTTTTGTCTTATGTCAATATGGTCTGTGCTAGTCTACGTAACTCTATTCCAAAGTCCATTGTTTATTGCCAAGTGCGTGAGGCAAAACGAGGCCTGCTCGACCATTTCTTCTCCGAGTTGGGTAAACTGGAGGTCAGAATGAAAATCATTACTTAACTGTTATCTATATGCATTCCTGGTCAAATTTGATGCCAATGTTGATTTTAGATGATTCCATGATGAATGGAATTGACTATGGAATTAATCCTTGCAGCAAAAGCAATTGTCATCATTACTGAACGAGGATCCAGCAGTTATGGAGCGCCGTACTGCCCTTGCAAAGAGACTTGAGTTATATAGGAGTGCACAAGCAGAAATTGATGCAGTTGCTTGGTCTAAGTAGATATGCAGCATTTGAATCATCCATCTCCTGTGCGTGAATTTGGCTTTCATTGTAGCTGTGCATGTGTAGCAGAAAATAGGGGAGCAATATTTTTGTTCGATTCCACACGCTATAAAAGCATATAACAAAAAGACCACTGTAGTTGTATTTCATTGTAGCTGTGCATGTGTAGCAGAAAATAGGGGAGCAATATTTTTGTTCGATTCCACACGCTATAAAAGCATATAACAAAAAGACCACTGTAGTTGTATATCATAGGTGACAATTTGTTGCTGCTGCCTTCACCGTTTATATGAATCACTATGAATATAGTATGTGCTAGTTTACATTGCTGTGCTAAGCTAACCTAAAAATGTTCAATCCATTAAGAATTATTAGACATTGTTAATAAGTTTTAGTCTAATGGACTAACCCTGAAATATCTTGATTTAATTGACTTTTTGTTTAACCCTTAAATTATACAAGTTATTTCAAAGATAACTCGATTATAATATTTTAAATCATACGAGTCATCTCAAAGATAACTCAAAGATAACTCGAATGATTAAGTTTGGTTTTAAAAAAATAAGAAGATAATATATTGAATTGTCCTTGGGTTTTATAATGTAATTTGTTAAATTTATGATGTTGGTAATGAAATAATTGTAAAATTAAGCATAAATCAAGCATGAGTCAAATATAAATACCAATCAAGATGTATCAAATTGAAATAATATATAAAATTAAGTAAATTAAAAAGAATAAAATTAAAAAAAAACAAAAAAAAAAAGAGGAAATGGCATAAAAAAAAAGCATCACTCCTTCACCGTTTACATGAATAATAAAGGAGATAAGAGTTTACACCCAAAAATTTGAAGTATTGCAGGCAAGATGCAGATGATATTAGCCTTCGAGCTACCAAAAGATTTCGATACGTTTAAACTTCCATGAGCTACTCCAATAGGCTCGTGATCTAATGGGATCATTCTCCTTGTGGAAGGGACTTGGGATCCCGGTTTATAGCATAGGGGTTTGAAGGGGTGTTTATGTTATTTTTATTGATTAGTAATCAGTATTCATCTCCTTCCTCGAATCAAAGAAACCTGAAGAAAAGTTCATTCAGGATTCAATTTCAATCGCTCCTCCGCTTTCTTTTTTCTTAAACCTGGGCTTTTTTGCCATGTAGGAGAGAGAGAAAGGGATGGAGATGACATGGCAGGTGGTCAGTATTCATTTGAAATCTTATGTTGGAGATTTTTGTAACCTGGCCAGGAAATATTTAAGAATGTAACACAGTTTCACTTGTTACTACAACTGTTGTTTACAACTAGCGTGTTGCAGTCTCTTTTCACAATTATCAACATCTCCTTGTCATTGACATTTGAGTGAATCTGACAATGACATGGCAAAACAAGTGAGTTTCGATATATGCCTGACTTTTTTTATGTTTAGATCTCTCATTTGGGAGCTCATGACTTTGCTATTATATATGATATTATTATCAGTATTGATAATGATACAACCTTACATAAGCATAGTATTTCAATATTGTTGTATATTATGTTAAACAACATAATAAAATACAAGTTTAATTTATCAATATTGTGGGTTAATTAAGGTACATAATTTATTAATAAAACCATAACAATAATATAATTGATAAAAATCAAAATTCATAAATTTTCACCATTATAATAAAATTATCAACCTAATTCACTATTTCATAGGTAATTTATATATTTTATATCTAATTTGAAAAAAAATCATTAATTTAACCTAAAAACCTAATTCTAACCTTAAATCACAATCGTCAATAATCTAAAATTATTTATTATCTTAAAAAATAATATAATTAGCAACTCAAATCAATGTTTTGATTTTTATCTAATTAACCGAATCTAAACTTTTTTCTCTAAAAATCTCTAATTCTAGATCCTAACATCTTTAAAATCAGCAATTAATATAAATTAACATAAATTATATTAATTTAATAGAGAAAAAGTTGAATGTACCTCTAATTGTTGAATGCGGGCGGTGGCAGCTGAAACTTTGATGAGGGACCCGCCGATGGAGAGAGAGGGAGAAATTGAAGTGGTGGTGGAAAGAAAGGGGGTGATCTGGCGGTGGATTTGAGAGTGTTTCGTAGTGAGAAGAAAAGGAGTTGTTGCACACCAAGGGAGTGGAGGAGGGTGTGACTGCAGGGAGAAAAGAAATAATGGGAGACCAAAAAACTCTCTGGTGCCATGCCACCTTTAATTGAAACAACGTCGTTTAGAATCCCTCTCTTAACCCTTAAAAACTCACACAACACGTCATCATTATTCATTAAACAGAGTCTGTGCTCTGATGTGCCAACAACCACTACTAAGACACACCATCTCCCACCTTAAAAACTTTTAAAGAAAGGAGAGTAAACGTATCATCAGATCTGCTCTTCCTTTGAATTAATCCAGGTATTGTATCTCTCTCTTATAGCATCTCTTAATTCACATTTTGATTTTTTACGAAGATTGAAATCTTTGGGTGCCCATCATATTCCTTAGAACGTTAGCATCTTCTTCGTTCTTATTTTGCTATGTTAGAAATCATGTGATGATGGGTTGTTAGAAATACTATTTATATTGCAAATTGCATTGTTGAGGTTTTCTCTGAAAGAAATTACTTTGGCAGGGACTGTCGTGGGCACAGGGGATATTATGTGGTTTTTTTTTTAATTTGGTTTCTGTTTTTTTTTTTTTTTTGCTTTTTTCCCCCCCTTAATGAAAAGCATTTTGTTCTGTACTTTTTCTAAGTTCAATTCCATTTGTTCTTTTTTGATGAATCTGGCTCAAGGTTCATTGTCAAAGTTGTGTTTGTTCGCTGGTGGAGATGAAGATTGTGAGCCTGACTTATGTTTTTTAAAAGATTTTTAATGGAAGAAAATTTGTGGACTTGTAAATTATGAATTCCGTTTTGATGGGAGGTATTTGTGTTTTGTGGGAACTGCAAAAGTATTATGAAGGGGGGAGCTTTCTTATGGGAGGGTTTATGTATCTTTCAAATGGATTTATTACTTTGAATAAGTTTAACTTATTGGAAAATGTTCTTCTTGGATGGCTTTTTTGAACAGCTTCATCTACTTCGAAATATTGCATGTTCAACACTTTGTTTGTTCCAGTAAAACTTGCCGTCAGGTTAACTTATTTGTTATTTTTCTTGTGAAAGAACCCGACTGCATGTGATCTATGTATCTGGTAACCACTCACTGTTTTTTATCTGAGCAATGCAGTGGCGTCGTGGTGGATATCAAGAAGCGGCAGCAGCAACATCTACATTTGGTATTATGGCCTCTGAGAGGGAAGAGTTTAGCATCTCAGGACCCTTACATCTAACTGTTGTTGACTGGTAAGCTCTTTGATGCTCTGGTATAGTTCTCCTGTTGTATTTACCAACTTATGTGCGTAAACAACATCACATTATTTTGGGGCCAGTACGATTTTGTGAATGTGATGCAGTGGCCATATTCTACTCGTACTTGGTGATGGTCTGCTATTTTGATTAATCTTTGCTAATGAAATAGCTGTGATGCTAAGCGACATTGATTAGGTAAAATAGCATATTTATAGTACCAAGATCATGTAGGAAACAATGTTATTTGTGATCTTGTGCAGGAAAAATGCACATCATCGAAGATCTGTTGCTGCCAGTTTGGTTCAGGGTGTCTGCATCCTAGAGCGGGACCGCCAGCTAAAACGTCAAGGTTCCCAAGCTCTTGCTCCTCCATGGTGGGAGTTTTTTCACTTCCAGTTGATTCGTCAACTTGTGGATGATGTGGATTCCTCCATTTTTGGTGCTATTTATGAATTCATGCCACCAGAATCTCATTATCACAATTCAGTAGATGAAAGCCCTCGTTATGTAATTGCCTTCCGTGGCACCATAACCAAGCCAGGGTCTGTGTCACGGGACCTTGAGCTGGACGTCTGCATTATCAGAAATGGACTCCATGAGACATCTCGGTTTGAGACTGCTATCCAGGCAGTCCGAAATGTGGTTGCTACAGTAGGCAAATCAAATGTCTGGCTAGCCGGCCATTCCCTAGGAGCAGCAATGGCATTGCTTGCTGGAAAGACCATGGCCAAGACAGGCATCTTTCTTCAAGCATTTCTCTTTAATTCACCATTCATCTCTGCCCCAATTGAAAGGATCAAAGATAAGCGAGTGAAACATGGACTCCGGATTGCAAGCAGTGTGATAACAGCAGGACTCGCTCTTGCTACAAAGAAGAGCTATCAGAATAGTCGATCTGCTGACCCATTTGCTACTCTTTCTGCTTGGGTCCCGTTTCTATTTGTCAATCCAGGCGATCACTTTTGCTCAGAATATATTGGGTATTTTGAGCACAGGAAGAAGATGGATGGTATTGGAATTGGAGCTATTGAGAGATTAGCAACCCAGAATTCACTCGGCGGTCTTCTCATGAGTGCAATGGGTAGGGAGTCAGAACCACTCCACCTCATCCCTTCAGCAAATCTAATCGTAAATTTGACTCCTTGTCAGGATTTTAGAGAAGCCCATGGAATTCACCAGTGGTGGAGACCTGATCTGCAAATAAAATCCAAGCTCTACAACTACAAATAGTTTGGTTGAATCTGTGTATAGATGGTGTCTCTTATCTTGTATTTGTTCGTGTTATTGGAGGAAGGATTATTAAAAATCGGTTCATCACCATAACTATTTCAAGCTTGTTGCTGAATTATTTTGTCAGAGTGTATCCCTTGATCTTGTTTCATATTGCATCTAACTGTAGTGGTAACCACTAACCTGGTCTTAAGGCTTAGGCTTCAGAAGCCAGCCGTTTGACAGTCACTTCCTACTGCTCAACAACTCGGGGTTGGAACTTCCTGCGGTCATGGATTCGTCTAGAGGTTTGCAAGCAAGGCTGCTTGAAAATATATAGCTGGAAGACCATTTTAAGCATGCATAATATCATGTAAACATTTCCGGTTTTAAAAATATAACCCAGCAGATCTGTTCACATTTTAGATCACCACACCGAGTGATCTTGTTACGGTAAATGAATTAGAAGTTCTGGTGATTGTTTGGAAGTAAGGTAATTTTTGTTTTTGAATAATTTTTAAAAATTATTTTTTTATTTAAAAATATATTAAAATAGGGTGGTGAAATATGGAATATGGGGCCTGCTGCCTCCACAACAGTACAAGTCAAATCACACACAAACATAATTTTCTCTTTTTAACAATCAACATCCATGTCATTTCTCATCCTCTGAAAAACTCATAAATAACTTTTTTTTTCTAAAAAAAGCATCCAAAAATTAAACTCTTCATAATCTACAAGCATCCTAAAATGTTTTTCTTTTCAAAATCCATCTTCATTGCCTTTGTCATCGTCGCTTTAGAATTTTTTGTAATTCTATAAGCAAGATAAACACATCGAATTTGTATTTGATTTTATTATGAATTTGTATTTGATTTTATTAAATTAAAATCATTATTTAGGATTTAGATTGAATATAGAATTTATTTAATTAATGATAAATTAATTATAAATACCACGAGTTAGGGTGATTTGATATGGTCGAACATAAAAATAAATTAAATAAATTATTTTAATTAATTATATGTTGCGTCCAATTTTAAATAAATTGCTTGATTATAATTTTTGTGTAGATTGTTGGAATCTGCTAATAATGTTATCAATTACACTTAATGATTTTCATGAAATAGAGTATGAATATAATAGAATTATGATGATTTACATGTATTGAATTGTGGATAAATTGTTAAGTTTGATATTTTCTTTAAATTATTTTAATTTACTATGAATTTGGACTTGATTTATTGCAATTGAATCAATTAGATTTGATATAATGAATTATGTTTAATTATTGTCAATTATGCTTTTGGATTACATTTTATGAATTTAATTGAATTTTCTATGAAAATTTCCAATCATAGCTTGGGTAATGCAATTAAGTTAAAATTACATCCAATTAACAATAACCTAGTTTGTTTATTTTGCTTGTATAGTGTTCTATAATATATTTACATCATGACACTGTTATTTTTAATATGAACGGTAATATAACATACAATGACAAAAATAGTTTGTTGTTTAATAATAATTTAGGTATATCATATATGAAAATTAAAAAATCTATTTGTCATGGACCTGAGTGAAATTATAATAATATTAAAATTGAAATAACTTGAAGATATCTAATTAATACACATCAGTATTATCTTATACCGATTTTACATGATAATAATTTTAAGATAATAATTGATTTTTTGATAACTAAAGTGAACTGAATATAATAATATTGTATATAAATAGTTGATCACAACTTTTGTTAGTCCTTTAAAATTAGTTAGTAAAGAAAAAAACAATTTATTATTGAATGATTTACTAGTGAGGATTGATGATTCCATTGACAATTTATTTGTTAATCACTAGATTTGATTATTTTGAGTCCACCAACAATAAAAATGATGAAATTTAAAATACAAATATGGTAATAAATATTAATAATGATGTTGATTACAAAACAATACCTCATGTTCATATATTTAAAGATATTTCTGGATTTACTTTTGTTATTTCTTATAATTAGGCATTTAATTATAGATGTTTCACATAAGATTCTGATTTGAAGATTGAACATACATTCAATAATAAAAATAAATTAACTAATACAATTAAAAAATAATACATTGCATATTCGATTAAATATTAAGTTAAAAAACCAAACTCAATATTTATTCAAATATAAATAGTATTTGCAAGGACAAGATCATAAAAAATTGTATTCATCCCACCCAAATAACACATTTAAAAAAGTTACAGTGCCTCGATTTTTGTTTAAAAAACTACTGTCTACTCAATGCAACATTCAAAAACATGCCTTTTCACTATCGTGTTTTTTTTTTTTTTTTTTTGGTGCTGCGTTAGTTGTCATTTTTTTAAAATTTATATGCTAAGTGTCGAATTTGTCCCGGATTAACTAACCCAAATTCAGAAGGAAAAAAATGACTCCCCCCCTTTTCATTGATAAACAGAAAATACGGAGCATTCTGCGGGTCTTTCCAGCTCATTTCTCACTAACCCCCTGACCTTAAACTTTAGTCCATGATAGGACCAAACTCAAGTTTCATTCTAAGCCTCAACTGCCCCGTGTTATTACAATAATCATGGTATCATCCTTTACCTAGAGCACAATTAATCCCTAAAAAATATATATTAAAGAGAAAGCGAAGGAATTTTTTTTTTAAAAAAAAAACTCCTCTTTCTGGACGAAACTCATCATGATTAACAGCTTTCCTCTTGCTTCAAGATCTTATACTAAAACTGTAAATTAAGAAAAGAGGAAGCTCCAAAAGCTCAAAATTTTCCAAATGTAGATCAAGGAGTGAACATAAATAAATCACTGGTGAAAAAAATCAGATTTTTACACTTCCCTTCAACATATGAGTCCTCATAATACAAATTTAAACACCCAAAACACTACAATTAAAAAAAAAGCTACACTTAAAAATCTAAACACAAGAATACCAAAAAAGAATTATCATTAATACTAGCAATGAAACCCTAAAACAGATCCATCACTCACAGCAATGACAACCCTGCATCCAACTTTAGTCTCCAAATGATGGGTAAAAAAATGCAAGACGCGAACCCGACCCGCCATGTGAATTCTCGACTCTATCTCCATCGTAGGCCCGACCCGATACCCATTATTAAAACCGGGTTGTCCACCACCGCCAAACCCACCGTCATTGAACGCAGGTCCCACATTGACCGCTGCATCCGGCGAAGCAGATAAAGGGAAAGACTCAACAGAAAAGGTAGCGGCCATGTACTGGGTTCGACCCGCATCAATTTTACCAGCAGGTATGAACATGAATCCGATTTGAGAACCCGAGTAAAGAAGCTGGAGGGTACTATCGAAGTGAGAAAAAACAGCTCTATTTGGGTTCTTGACGGCGACATATTGAGAGAAAGTGAAGTTAACAGTGTTGTTAGAGACAGAAAATGATGGGAGTTGAACAGAGTTAACAGAGATTTTAGGATCTTTAGGCTTGAAAACAGTGAAGAAGACAATAAGGATTATGATAACAAGGAAGATTAAGAAGATTGTAGCCACTATGCACGAAGCAAGATTTGTGCGCCCGGAAGGTGGTCTGTGTGGTTTGCTCATTTTCTCGACGGATTTGATGAGTTAAAAAGGGCGGATCAGGGGGGTGGAAGGAAGGGAAAGAGGGAATCTTGGGAATGAGAGAAGATGGGAAACTTGAGAGGTGTTTGGGATGGGGTGATGATGTATGTGCTACTGGGAAAGTGAAAGTGATAGGACAAGGACTGGAGTGGAAGTAGCGAAAAAATAAATAGTGTGAAACCAAGACTTTTCGTTTTTGTTTTCTTTTAGATATTTCACTTGAGGGAGAAGCTGCAGGTTCAAAGAGACGGTAAAGGTAAATCTTTTTTTTTCTTGGTAAATCTTGCCTTGGTCCAGTGGTGGTACCTCTTTACTCAAAATAAATAAATAAATAAAACACTTCAACTGCCATGCCAAGGTTACTTTCCGCTTTGCATTTATCTGGGAATGCTCTCAAATACTGGTAGATGTTACCTTCTTGTGGCGGGAAACTCAAGCAGGCACGAATCGGTCTCCATCACTGTACAGTGCAGTGAATAATTCACATGTAACTTTCTGGAATTAATTGGCAATTGATGTTGTTGCCAGGGGCGGAACCAGGGGAGGGCAAGCAGGGGCCCGGGCCCCTGCAAAACATTTTAATTTTTTTTTTAATATTTTTAAATTTAAATAAATAAACTTTTTAATAATATATATTATTATATTAATTTTAGCCTCCCCTGTGAAATGTGCTTGGCTCCGCCCCTGGTTGTTGCTATCATGTGCCATCATCATCATCATGACGATGGTAAGTGTTGTTATTACGAAAAAATAACCTCTACGAGGGACTATTGTTTTTTTTTTTAATTAACGTGGGTGTCCGGGCCGGTTTGCGCGCACCACGACTAATCCCACAGGCCCTGAAGTTAACGACCATTTAAGCCTTCAGTGGCCATCATATGAGCAACCAAGGACTCGAACCTGAGACCACAGAGGGAGCAAACCTCTTGATCTCAAGTCCTTATCACTTGGCCACCACCTAAATGGTTGAGGGACCATTGTTTTAATATATAACATGCAAGGTAATTCACCACACAATATAATTACTATTTTATCATTTTTTATATATATATTTTTGTCTTGCTAGCTGATTAGAAAGGTATTTTCTGGGAGATATAAAGATTGTCTGTAAATTGATTTGGTATAATTTAGTAATTTATATATTTTTTTATAATTGAATTATGTTGATACCATTAGAAAGAAGAAGAAAAAGAAGGCTTATAAGAGTTTCGCATATTTCTTTTTTACAAACAGTACAATTAATTCATTGTTATTAAAGTCAAAGAAATTAAAGCATGAGTTAAAGGATGGGTTAAAGGATATTTTAGTATTTTTCTTGTGGTATTTTTGTTATGCTTTATTTGCATTTATTTAGATTAGAGGTGAATTAATATTTTTATAAGTAAAAATAAATAAATAAAAAGTATCGGCGCGTGCTCACATACTAATAACAGGATGTTGACTATGCTTTTTAGGTAACGCGTGTGGCGATTGAAGTTTCGCAACCGCCATGTCGTCGGGAACGTCCAATGGAGATGAAGCTGTTTCGGACGGTTGGTCTTTTCTCCTCCCTCTATTTTCTTTCTATTCTCCTTGAAATTCACGTCAAATCAACGAAAAATCAGCATAGTCCTCCCATTTATTTTGTCTTTCAATTATGCTTCTTTTTCTTTATTAGTCACTAATATGTGTGTGTTATTTATTTATTATTTTTGAATAATAAGGCCACATCTACGATCAATCATATTTTGGGTTAGCAGATCCAGCCAGCCCTCTATAAGAACACTCAAGCTCAGAAATTATAAATTCAAGAGCCAGTTGAAGTGAGGTTGTTTTTGGACTTTCCATCGACTCAAATCTCCTTCTACTTTCCCTTTACGCGCCATTGAGCACTCTTTCTTGATCCCTATCAAGAATCCATAGAAACTTAACAATGTCGACCAGTCTTCTTCTGCCTCTCCTCTTACTTCTTTTATCCTCCTTTTTTACTCGTTCAAGAAATCTTGCAGTCCCTCAAGAACTCAACAACTTATCTCAAAACATCATTACCTATAACATCCCCGCTATATCACCTACTTCTTCTTTAGTTGTTTCCTCTTCAATCTCTCCATCTCCAACACCAACAACCTTACCAGTCAGTCCTCCTTTAGTGCCTGCTTTCTTTATTTTCGGTGACTCTTCTGTTGATTGTGGCACCAACAATTATCTTGGTACTTTTGCTCGTGCTGACCATAGTCCTTATGGTAGAGATTTTGATACTCGTAAGCCAACTGGAAGGTTCTGTAATGGAAGAGTCCCTGTTGATTATCTTGGTAAACACTTAGTTTTTAATCTTCACAAGAAAAAACGAAATCTTGGGTCTTGTTTAATTATTTTGCTTTGAATGTCCTTTTCAGTGAAAAGAAGACTTCAATTCGGATGTTTGTTTTGCATTTCTTGATGGTTTCAACTTTTAAGCGTCTGTTGTCTGGGTTATTTTTGTTTTGGTGATTTTGCTTGCTCTTCTGTTTGATATCCAAGAAAGTGAGGGAAATTATCAAGAAAATGAAGACATTGGAGTGTCCTTTGTCTTTTTATTTACTGATTTTGAAGAGATGGAGATATCAACTGAATACAGATTCTGAGATATTGTCATTTATTTTTTGTTCTTTGATCAATTACTCTAGGCACTGTTAGTGAACAAGTCAAAAGAGCCTTAACTCCTGAATTTTCCCATTTTTCTTGCCAGCCAAACAGATTTTTCGCCTTTGTTGCTAAAACTGACTTTTCCAATATTGATTATGTTTACTTGTAAAGAAATTCTTTGTCAGGGCCAATAATAGATATGGGGAATCAGTAGTTTATGTATCTTGCTTTAGATTTCTCTTAGAGAAACAAGGCTGGTTTAGAATTTTTTTTTTCCTCATCAGTTCTTATCTATTGTCATGTATTTGATCAGCATTGCGCCTTGGGCTTCCCTTTGTACCAAGTTATCTTGGGCAGATGGGAACTTTCGAAGATATGATTAAAGGGGTGAATTATGCATCTGCTGGTGCTGGAGTTATATTCTCGAGCGGATCAGAATTGGTGAGCTCCCCAGTACTACGCTGAAAAGATCACAAATTCATTCAGTTACGCTTACACCTAATCAGCAATCATGTGATTTTGCCGCAGGGTCAGCGAATCTCCTTCACGCAGCAAATTCAGCAGTTCTCGGATACTTTACAGTCATTTATTTTGAACATGGGAGAGGCTGCTGCAAATGAGCTCATCTCGAACTCAGTCTTTTATATTTCCATTGGAGTCAATGATTACATACATTACTATTTGCGTAACGCATCCAATATCCAAAACCTGTACCTCCCATGGAGCTTCAACCAGTTCATAGCAGCTTCAATAAGGCAGGAAATAAAGGTGACCTTTCTAGTTTTTTACTTTTCATATTTTGTTGTGTTCATGCAAGAAAGATTTCTTCTACTCAATGAATTGTGGTTATATATATATATATATATATATATATATATATATTCTCTTTTAACAAGTCCTTGGAATTCAAGATGTTATTTATATCAGAAATTCCTAACTCTTGTATGTTTATGGAGCAGAACTTGTACAATATGAATGTCAGGAGAGTAATTCTCATGGGGCTGCCACCTATTGGCTGGGGGTGGC